TTCTCTTCTAAAATGACTCAGATCTTGCCTGTGGAGTCACCAGCCCCTATCCCCTGGTTAACAAACACTTAGTAGCGCCCATGGTCTTGTTGTTCCTTGGGTAATGGCCAAGGCAATATCTGTGTCTCATTGCCTCAGTAGCCTCTGTTTTGCTGAGATAAATCTGTGTGAACTAGGTTGGCCTCAACTTTAAGATCTCCCTGCCTCAGCCTCGTGAGTTCTGGGATTGCAAGCATGTACTGCCATACCTGGCCAGGAATTTTTTTTTTTTTTTTGAGACAGGAAGGATCTCAGTAGATAGCCTTGGCTGTCCTGGAACTCACTATATAGACCAAGCTGCTGACTCTGCCTCCCCTGCCTCCCAAAGCATGTGTCACCATGGCTGGTTAGGATTTTTTTTTAAACCTAGTTTCTTTTATTCTGTGTATCTCCCCTAGTTTAAAAAAAAAAAATAAGTGTGTGTGTGTGTGTGTGTGTGTGTGTGTGTGTGTGTGTGTGTGTGTGTTCTTTCCTATTAGCAGAACTATTTTATTTTATTTTCTTATACTGAACCTTATATGAATCTTATAATTTGGTATCATTTAAAATTGGATTGGTATTGCAAAAAAGTTAGATATAGCATTCTGGAAATAGATTTATCTGCAATTTGTTACCATGGAATTAAGGTAGGATCTGAGGCAGTGGTCATTAAATTTTTGTGGATTTAGATTTCCAAAGGTGTATTTCATGACAGTGATAAGTTTCACAAACAAAAGGTAGGGGTGGAGCTCGTGGATAGGTAAGTTTAGAAGGATGAGGTTTTCTGCAGAATGTTTCTGTCTTTGATATTTGAGTATCTTAATATTAGTATATGTACTAATACATAATGTCACAAAAGTTTGACATTTGAGCAGTTACAGAGATGGTTAAGATGAATTGCTGGTTACTAAAGGATTAGAATCAGTATGATTTGGACATTACTTGGTGGGAAGATGAAAACCACATGTAAATGATGAGTAATCTCCAAGCTTTCCTTAGTTGACTTGGAAACCAACTCTGTGGATGGAAGTACCATTAATGGGGAGAGACACTCAGGGCAGACCAGGTATGAGAAGAAAATGAAATTCAGTTAGAACCAAATGCAAACCTTAGGAAACATCCAAGTGGACCTATCTCAGAAATAAGGAAGTAAGATGTATCTGGTGGAACAGTTCCAAGATTGTGATCATCAAAGAAAGCCACAGAAATGCTTGCCCCGAGTGGTTAGGTAACATGAGAATGGGCCATAGGGAGGGTGATGATGAGAGAAACCAACTTTAAGACAAGTGATGGAGGAACCTGAACAGAAAGAACAATGATGGGAAGGCTTTTTCCTTCTTTTAAAGGATTGGGGGAAAGGGCTGCTTTTCCACCCTCTTAGAGGATTATAGAAAGAGAAGTGCCCATAAATTTTACAGTTTGAATTTTGCTCTGATATACTTATCACTAAGTCATATGTATAGTACAATTTGTTTTTTAAGCCCAAAATAGACAGGGAATTCTGTAAACCCAGTAGGGTGGTGATAATACTAGATTTTCATTATTTTTAAAACGGATTTTAGCTGGGGAGTGGTGGCGCACACCTTTAATCCCAGCACTCAGGAGGCAGAGCCAGGCGGATCTCTGTGAGTTCTAGGCCAGCCTGGGCTACAGAGATCCAGGACAGAAACCAAAGCTATACGGAGAAACCCTGTCTCGACAAAACAGAAAGGAAGGAAGGAAGGAAGGAAGGAAGGAAGGAAGGAAGGAAGGAAGGAAGGAAGGAAGGAAGGAAGGAAGGAAGGAAGGGGAAGGGAGGAAGGAAGGAAGGAAGGAAGGAAGGAAGGAAGGAAGGAAGGAAGGAAGGAAGGAAGGAAGGGAAAGAAAACGGATTTTTAGCAGGGTGTGGTGGCACATACCTTTAATCCCAGCACATAGGAGACAGAGGCAGGATGATATCTATGAGTTCAAGGCCAGCCTGGTCTACAAATGAGTTCCAGGACAGCCAGGGCTGCACAGAGAAACCCTGTCTTGAAAACACAGAACAAAACCAAATGGATTTCTGTTCTTAATCTCCTAGAGGCACTCATAGGATGCTAAAGCATTAAGAGTTGAGAAGTGTTATTTCCGGTAATGTTACATCAAGGGAGAAAAGAGATCAGAAAACTCTCACCTGAAAGAAGACAATTGCAAATCTCCTAAGAGAAGGAAAAGTCCTGATTCAGACCTGTGGGTTTGAGCTCTTGAACAATGAAAACGAGAGTGAGAATGGAAAAGATACTTATGTGTTGTGAGAAATAAAATTTAAAAAATATATTTCCAGTCTCTTGTCAACATGAACTAATTTGGAAAACAATACTCATTTAGGACCTGTGGTAATTTAAAGTTGCTTTACTGACTTAAATGTCTCAGTAAAATTGTAGTGCAGTGTTAGTATGCATGCATGTTTGTAGTTATTACATTTAATCTCACTAAGATCACCTTAGTTTAGGTTGGGCAAGTAGAATGAGCAGATTGGTTGTTGGCTCTTACAGCATTTTATATAAACAAACATACCTCATACACTTTTAGGAGGAATTCTAATTTTAAGACCTGCTTACAATTTGTACCTGAGCATGTCTCCTTACAGGATAACTCGGTTTGCACTTCAATCCAGTGTTTCAGGAGACAGATTCATATATGTATAAATGTTGTGTGGCATTAAGAATCTTAGCAGTGGAAAGGAGATTAAAAGAATAATAAGGGTAAAAAATCAAAGATTTTGTATACATGTATGAAATTGCCAGAGAATCAATTTTGAGAAGAAAATCTTGTAAAACTCTCCTAAATCTGTGTTTGCTTGGTTATATTCTACTTTTATAGAGATGTGCTACAGCTTCAAGCATAAAACTCTGTCCTTTAGAACCTGTGTTGTATACTAAGAAACATGCAGCAGAGTGAATTCATTTTGGAAGGCTGTCTTTTCAAAGCATTAGTATCTTCTAATGACATTTGGCAATATGTATGTAGATGTTTGTAAAATATAAATTCTTGCCGTCTGACATGGGTTTTTCTGGCTTTCTGTGCCTAATCATTCTTTTGTTTTGTTCCTGGTCACCAATTTAATTTGAATATTTCCCATTTTGTGTTTTAACCAGTTTCCCCTTTTTTTTTTTCCTTTCCTCCCCCCACTTTTCTATCATTCTGGTGTAGGGCATTTCTGATCTGCAATTGTTCTGTAGTATATTTTGGACAATTTTAAATGCTATTGAAAATATAATATGTATAACGTATACTTTTACCTTATGCATAGTCTAGTTAGGTGCTCTTTTTCAAAATTTCATTGAAATATGAAAAATTTTTAAGTGAACAAATTTCTACCTAAGTATTCTGATGTAAGTAATCTTACTTTAGCATAACTCTTAAGGAGTGTCAAGAAATTGCAGTTTAGGGCAATGTCTTCGCTTTGCTGCACAGAAGTGCTTGCAGATCAGCTTTGCTGACTACCAACAGCACGTAGTGACTCGGGCCCCTCCTAGTGCTTTTGTGGCTGCTGCAGTTAAACTCTGTGCATCAAAATAAATGGCCGTCATAGCTGTGACTCAACTACATCTTAAGTTTTTATTGAACACATGCAAACTGAGTGAATCCTAATTTTTCCATATATTTTTATAGCTTTCTTATATCTGATGCCATTTCATCTTTTTTTCTACCAGTCAATCAGGGCAAAGTTGCATTTCTTAAGATGAAAATTGTCTAGTTTTTATTCAAGACAGTGATTACCATTTGTGACAAAGATCAATTAATTTTCCCAGAGTTTTAATTAACAGAAGTAATCTTTTCCCTCCAATAAAGCTTACTATTTCTTAAGCACAATATCTATAAATTTAAGAAAACTTCACAGTTAAGACACATGCAATTCAATTCAGTCTTGCTCGAGATAAATAGTGTCCAAAGTTTAATAAGAGGTGTTCCTAGCATCCATGTTATCTTATAAACTGTATGATAGCAGGAGAAATGTTTGAATTTTATTAATCCCTCTTAACAGAAAATAATATATTTGAAGACTTAGTAAACCTTTTAAATTCTTCCTAATATTAGTTAGTACCCTTAGATAATTATACACAACTATTTTAGAGGTGATTGGTGTGTATGTGATCATTTGCATTGGGATTAAATCATTTCTATTCTTTGGTGTTAAATGGGAATTGAACTAAAACCTTTAGTCCTTTTTTTGATTTTTCTAGACAGGGTTTCTATGTGTAATAGCCCTGGCTGTCCTGGAACCTGCTTTGTAGATCAGGCTGGCCTTGAACTCACAGAGATCCGCTTGCCTCTGGCTCCTGGGTGCTAAGGCATGCGCCACTACCACCCGGCCCATTCGGCCTTTTTTTATATGTGTCTTTGACTTATCTGCTTGTTTCTAGGAAACACGCTTCCTTGTAGGAAAATGTATAAGTATACAACACTTGTTGCACATTGAAACTGTACCTCTCAACTTAACAAGAGGTCTAGCTATTAATGTTTCTACAGTCACAGCATTCTAAACAGTACATTTCAAAGTAACTTAAAACTCTGGTGGTTTTGTTTTGTTTTGATTTTTATAAGGATATTTGCTTATTTTTCATGTAATTTTTATCTGCCCTCCCCCCAAATTATGTTAACCAAAAACATTTCATTGTATTTTCTTACCAAGATTGACTAAAACAAGAAGTACCGAGATTATTAAATTTGACTACCTAAATAAAAGTAGGCCACAGATTGTATTTTTAATAGCTATATTCCTTGTCAGACAGCTAGAACATACACCCCTACTTCTGCTAAAACTATGGAAAATGATCACCAGTTTGCTTGCAAATCAACTCTGCTGCATGCGTTCACAAGTTTCATAAAGATTGCATGCTTTTTGTTCTCAATACAAATTGTGTTTTTTTTCATACCCATCTTTGCTTTTTATTTTTTTATTTTTGTTTCCCTTTTCTTGGTTGGATGCCTGTGTATGTTTAATCCAAATCCCTGTCCAGTCCTGGAGTTTGAACTACGGAAAGCCAAGGAGACCATTCAGGCCCTCCGAGCCAACCTAACAAAGGCTGCAGGTGGTGTACATAAAACTTTTTGAGCCTTTTCCCACTTTTACAATGTAGAAGTAGCTGGCCTATTTTTATGTGTAAAATAGTAAACCATTATTTTATTTTATCTCACCAGAACATGAAGTTCCTTTACAGGAACGAAAAAATTACAAATCAAGTCCTGAAATTCAGGTGGGTGAATGACACCAGTTATCTGTCTTCCATATAGCCCAAGTGTCAAGGAACAAAGCTCGTATTTTCCCATCTGTCTTTTATTTTGCTTCCAGGAGCCAATCAAACCTCTTGAAAAGAGAGCTCTCAACTTCCTAGTAAATGAGTTTTTGTTGAAGAATAACTACAAGCTTACATCAATAACCTTTTCAGATGAAAATGATGATCAGGTAAAGTTACATTTGGGGTGATGTCTGCTTTTAATTTACTTTGTCTCTTAGCTTGATTTTTTGCAGTTATGCCTACAGTAAGATTCACCTGGGTAGTTTCTAAAAGCATAGCAGGTACTACTCAGTTTAGTATTTCGTTTGCTCACAGACCTTTTCTATTTTGTAAGCTTTCAAAATAAAGACTTGTGTTTCTTTCCAGGTAGCTTTTTCCAGCCTGATAGTTACTTCATGGCCCCTCCATAGTTGTGTGCATTCATAAAGTATGCCTTTTAAAACTGGACATTACTTGGTCCTATAGATCAATGAAGACTTAGAAATTGAGTTTGACTATACAAGTTTCTTGAGTAGCACTGTAATTCAGATGTTCAGTAGCACTATTAGAAAATGTTTTGAATGACAACATATATGATGTATGTGTACATGTGTGTAATTGGTTCTCTGAATAGGATCTTTCAGAAGCAAATGCCAGAGATTTTATTATGAAGGAAGCAGAAGGCTGCTGTTTTTACCTTTGTTTTTTCATTGACTTTGTGGTGCTCAGCAGACTCCCTACCTCTGAAACTGCACCCTTCCCTCAGAGGCAGTTCTTTTAAAGGAAGATTATTCCTTTGCTTCATAACATCTCCTGTGGATATTTTTATAGAAATAGAAGTTCTCTAAAGGACATAGCAGTTTATTTATTTCACCAGTTATCATCACATGTTTGGCAAGACTTAAATGCAATGCAATTCATTGTGTATCACTTAATAGGACACTTTCTGAGAATATTAGCAATCACTAAGTGATTTCACCACAGTGAAATTCAGCATTATAAAATATACTTACATAGTGCTATAATTCTACACTGATGTCATTCACATATGAAGTCTGTCATTGAATTTGATGCAATATGTGGCTTATGGTTATAAATATTTAGTTATCACATGGTAGCTTTACAGAGCTTATACTATGTAAAAGACATTAAATGTTTACCAAACATGATTTCTATGAGTATAATTTAAGTGAATCATGGTTTTTTTAAATCATTGGCTTAACAGCAAATAGTAACTATTTAAAGTGTGAGAAATGTTGGAAAGTGAAAAGGAAGGGGAAAGAAGAATAAACAACAGAGAGGACAGGTCAGAGTATGATGGTCTCTTTAAGTCTAGACTTGTCAGTTCCGACTTTTCAATACAAACAATTGATCCTACTCAGTTAAGAGTCAAACTATCAGAGATATCAGTAGTGCTTCCTCAATAATTGACAAGGAAATAGCTTAGGATGTGGAAGATCCGCATTCCTTCATCAGTTAAGATTTGACATTAATTAAAATGGAAGTGGCAAGGAACTAGTGTAGCCAAAGCAACTTTGATAAAGAACAAAGGGGACTTGAATCGTTGGCCTTCTAGCCTTAAAAGATAAGATAATCAAGATGTATCATGCTGTTATGTAGACAAGTAGACCAAGGAACCTATTCCAGTATAAGCCAGAGGGAGACGTGCACAGGGTCTATTGATTACTCACAAGTGCAAAGTTAATCCCATACAGGGAGGGCAGTCTTTTTACAAATGATAGTAGAAAAACGTGGTGTCCATGCACCTCCTAAGTGGGATTAAAACCACATTCCGTACCATACATGAAATTTGATTCAAAATGTATCATAGATTTTAATATGAACCTGTAAGACTTACACAGGTAAATGTAAGAGGAGTAAATCATTACAATTTTGAGAGATAGATAAGATTTCTTAGATATGCCACCAAAATCATTCTTCAAACGTACTACTGTGATTTTTTTTTTTAAGTCACTTTTTGCTGGTGAGTTTGCTTAGCAGATCGAAGTATCTGCCCCACCTGAGTTTGATCCCCAGAACCCATGTAAAAAGGAAGAAGAGAACCGACTCTTTGACCTCCATACTTGAGCCATGGCATGCATGCCCAGACACACTCATTATGGACACACACATAATAATAATAAAGTATTCTTAAAGCCATTCTTGAGGCTGGAGGGGTAGCTCAGTAGTTAAGAGCTGCTTGTTCTTCCAAAGAACCTACCTCTAAATCCAACTCCCAATACACATGTGGCATACCCTAGCACAGACATGTAAACATAAATAAAAGTAAAAACAATTCTTTTTTTAAACAACTGTTGAGTGAAAAGACAAACCATAGACTGAGTGAAAATATTCAAAAGTCAACAAAGTATTTGTTAGAACTTTCTAAACTCTTTAATAAGAAATAAACAGAATTTTTTAAGACACAAGCAAAAGAATTATATGCATGCTTCACCGAAAAAGATATCTAAATAGAAAAGAGCTTGTGAAAGATACTCAGCTCCTTTTCCTTCAAAGATGCACATTCAGTACATTGAGATGTCACACACTTAGGATGGCCATGACTGAAGACTCAATAGGCTGGGCCTGAGTTAGGCAGATTGCAATAAAGTGATGTGTTTAATATTCATTTATAATTTATATAAGCTAAAATTGATTTTTTTTCTTATAAGCTAGCACCATGGGGCCTTTAAAAATATTTAGCTAATTCTTATAAAAGTCCTAAGAAGTAATGAATATTATACCCATTTTATAGGTAGCCCTTTTTTTTTTAAGTTCTTGGTCTCTGCAGGGAAATGATTCTTTTTTAAAAAATTTTTTTAATTTTATAATTTAATTTTCCATATCAGCCACGGATTCCCCTGTCCTCCCCTCTCCCCCCACCACCTTCCCCCCAACCCACCCCCCCCCATTCCCATCTCCTCCAGGGCAAAGACTCCCCTGGGGATTCAGCTCAACCTGGTAGATTCAATCCAGGCAGGTCCAGTCCACTCCTCCCAGGCTGAGTGAAGTGTCCCTGCATACGCCCCAGGTTCCAAACAGCCAGCTCATGCACTAAAGACAGGTCCCGGTCCCACTGCCTGGGTGCCTCCCAAACAGTTCAAGCTAATCAAGTGTCTCACTTATCCAGAGGACCTGGTCCAGTTGGGGGCTCTATAGGTAGCCCTTTTAACTTAAATGAACTGATGACGATAAGCAGAGAGTAGAAATGTTGAATTTAGGTCTGATTTTCTCCGAACCCCCAATTTCAGTGCCCATATCAACTTCATATTTAATTTTTAGTTACAATTATTCCATTATTTAAGTAAGCCATCAAAGGATTAAAGTGCCATGTTTAGACTATTAACATGAGTATTCTAAGGATTTTCAGAGATTCTCATAAACAAATTATAATAAGGTAACAACTTAGTACAAAAGTCTTTTATTTTAGGGCAAGACAGGATGGTAAGAAAGAATAGGTCTGTGATTTATTACTATATAATTTCATACATCCCATCCAAAAATCTTTGCCATGGAGTACTCAAGATGCTACACCTTTCTGTCGTTTTTATGAAGTTGAATTATTCTGAATTAAAGGGAATGTTTCAAAAACACAACAAATTTACAGGTAGCTATTTGAATTCTTTAAATTGCCAGAAGCATTTTTACTAATTCAAGTTAGATTTAAGCAGCTGAAGCAGATCGGCAGGTTAAGCTGGCTATTAATTCATAAGAGAGTATGTTGATTACATGTAATGTGGGATGAGCTTCCATCAGTCAGTTTACTTGTTACTTGTATGTTGATGACCTAAGCACTTAGACATTTCATGCTCCAGTGCTAGTGCTCACACTCAGGACTTCATGCAAAATACATTTTACCATCTAACACAGTTTAACAGAAAACATAAAATTGTAGGAATAATAATTGTGTAATGAAAGAGTACCTAGAATATACACTTTTATTTTCTTTTATTTTTGAGGCATGATCTCACTGTGTATCCCTGGCCAAACTGGAACTCAGTATACAGGCTGGCCTCAACTCACAGAGATCCATGTGCCTCTGCTTCCTTGGTGCTGGGATTAAAGGTGTACACCATCATGCCCAACACATTTAGACGTTATAATAGAATATTATCTTTGTTTATCCAGAGTAGCAATATTTGACTGAAAACACAAGAAAAAATTATCTTAAAGGTTTTTTTTTTATTACATTTATTTTGTGTGTGTGTGTGTGTGTGTGTGTGTGTGTGTGTGTGTGTGTGTGTGCGCTTGTATATGAGAAGATCAGGGAACAACTTTCTGGAGCTGGTTTTCTACAAACTCCACCATGTGGATGCCAGGAATTAAAATCAAGTCATCAGATTGGATAGCAGGTGCCTTTACCCACTAAGCTGTCACACTAGCTTCTCAAGGTTTTTTTTAATGCTTTTTGTTTTCTATTAGGATTTTGAATTATGGGATGATGTAGGATTAAACATTCCCAAACCCCCAGACTTGTTACAACTTTACCGAGATTTTGGAAATCATCAAGTGACTGGGAAAGATCTTGTGGATGTGGCCAGTGGAGTAGATGAAGATGAATTAGAGGCTCTTACACCAATTTTAAGCAACATCCCTCCAACCCTTGACACTCCCCAGGCTATAGAGGTGAGAAATACCAATTAAATACTCATGTCCACAAAAATTGTTTATGTAAAAATGTTTCTGTGAGATCTTGAGCTTCTGATTTTTTTTCCTGCTTTGATTTTCAGAACTCCTTGCTAGTACAGAAATTAGAAGATAAAATTAGTTTATTAAATAATGAAAAATGGTCATTGATGGAGCAAATCAGAAGACTTGAAAGGTTAGTACTTTGTTGTTATTTCTAAAAGTCCTAAAATTTGTATTGACATTGGCAGGTGTGTGTGTGTGTGTGTGTGTGTGTGTGTGTGTGTGTGTGTGTACATATATACGTGTGTGAAACAGGGTTTCAATAGTAAGACATAATGTTTTCACATTGTTGTTATTAAAGCCTCTTAATTATTTTCTGTATTTAAAATAATGAAATGTCTCCCGTCACCAGTAAACTAGATTGATGTGATCTTATAGTTTATGTCATATACTTAAGAAGTTAGATACTTTAACTTCAACTGAGTCTTGTCAGTCTCGACAAAACTATTCCACATTAGTGACCTTCTTACTTAACCATTCATTATTTCATTGATTTCTTGTAGTACTAAGTTGGGTTTGATGGGGTGGTCTCTGTATTTCAAATGGAGATTTCTCAAGAGCAGGCTTTAGGGCTGCTGTTTCTTCTCCTGGTTGACAGTTCACAGCTATGCTTTTAGGACTATGAAGCACCAATGACTGTTACATAGAAGAGCTTAGTCACTAATCAAGTTTTTTAATCAAGGCTTTTAATATGTTCTGCTTCTGTTAACCCCTTTTCTGGGAGTGGATACTGTTGTCAAGCCTTTCAAAACTGAAATTGTTCTCTGGGAATTTTCTTTCTTCAGTGAGATGGACATCCTTAAAACTGAACATTTTACCACCCCAGCAGTTGGTGATTCTGTTCAGCCTTCCTTGATTCAGTCTTCCCAAAAAGATTCTGAAGACAGTAGACGGAGCCCAATTGTAAATAGTTCAGACCAAGAAAAAAACAAGAATGGCCATCTTGAAACACCAGGTGGAGCTGATAACTCTATTCCTCAAGAGAATTCTGCAGGTTCTTTCCCCAGGAAGGAAAGAGAAGAAATGCTACCTTCTTCTATACCAAGTAAAACCATGGTCCATTTCGATCAACCCAATAGGTTAGTGTGATGCCATACTTTGAATGTGTCTTTCATTATTTGTGCTTGTAGGGCTGGAAGAAATTTAGTTCATATTTGAATATTTTGTAGAGTTACAAATTCTTCCATTTGACATGACTTAGCACATAGCAGAATACATGTCACAAAATGGGACAAATAATTATTAAATTATATCAAAGAAAAGAAAACCATAAATTGACAAGTTCTGTCTTCACTAAGTGCATAAGGCCATAAATAACCTCTAATAAATAATAAAGAACTATATGCTCTTGGCCTTCCCCTCCATGCCTCTTACCTTTCTTCTGTTATCAAGCTCAGACTAGTTGCCTGTGCTGTGACAAAGCAACACAAAATAGTTTTGTTTCCAGTCCTTTTTCTGTATCTTCTTTTCTTTACTAAAGGATGTCATTAATATTCTCTTAATTCATCTAATTTTTGCTGGATTGCAGTATTTGAACTTAGGAAGTGAAAAAAATCAGTAAACCATGATTCCTATCCTTTGTGATAAAGCTATCTAGTAGTGAAAACAAAGTATAAATTTTAAATGTTTTCAGTTGTAACTTAAAATAGTTTTGAAAAAGAACTGTTATTTTTTTTATTTTATGCATATGTGCTTAGTGTATACTAACTCATTTAATCGTATAGTGCACTTTTGGCTACAATATTCTTCTTGTTAGAAACAAGCACCATATACCCAACATTAGGATGAAATTTTTCAAGCATGGCTAATTTTCTTTAGTCTTACAGGTCCTCATTATTACTGAGAAATACTGGATTTATTTGTGTAAGAAGCTTTCCATTCTGAATCCTAACCTGTACTGGTTAGATATAATTGTTACCTTTGTGTATATGGAGCTCACAGAATTAGACTAAGGTATACAGTCCTTGAGGTATATCTGTTCTAATGTAGATGAGATAAAATCATGGAAATGTATATTGTGTTGCTGAGTAGTAGGAGCACTTGTAAAGTCCTCCCATATCAGAGCATCTGTATAGCTCTTTTATACTCTTAAGGTAGATGCTGTTATATTCACTCAATACCTGTGTGCCAGGCAATGCTACTAAGAATACATTAATGAGTGAGACACACTGTAATCCTTTCATGAACAAACGTTATGGTATGAAAAAGAGCAATTAAAATATGAAAAATAAGAGAATGGATCTTGCTTTGGGAACACATAACCAAAGCACCAACCTAGTTATCAAACAGAAAGGTTTCATTAAAGATTTGAAGGCTGAGAGTTAACTAGGTAAAGAAATCAAAGGCTGAGTGGGTAAAGAACATTAGGAATGAAAATGGAAGAAATAGATTTACAAGATACCTAAAAGCTGGACAGTTTGTTAGATTGGAAATAAAGAGAAAGGAATGAATCCAGTGAGGGTTAAGAGAAAGACTGGTTTGTGGTTTCTAGTTTGAACAAGCAAATAGATTGTGGCCCCATCCATTCAGAGGGTGTGAGCAGTGCCTAAGAGAGCGAAGGGTCCAAATCTTGACACATCTCTCTAAGTCTGCAATCATGGAAATTATTGAGTACAGCTTGGTGCCTATTAAGCATGTCTTTGGTGAGTTTTTGGTATTGGCCTTGTCTTTGTAGATGGAGCACACAAGCAGCTCATAGTCAACTTCATGAGTTACATAGATACAATGTTTTTAGAAATAAAGATAGGCTTGACCTTTCTTATTAAACATAAAAGTAAATTAATAATTCCTGTTGTTCCTCCAATGTTTCTCTCTTAAATTATTTCAGGAATGTTCAGTGAGCTTTCCCTTCCCTTATAGTCTTTATAGGTTAAAGCTGAATCATTGTATATCGGCACAACTGTAGTGACTTTCCAGCTTTGTTTCTTGTTCAATTTGTGTCAGCCTTTCTGAAGAGATAGAAAATGGAGGGTGGAGATAGTACTCATTTTAGATTGTGGAACTATTTCCTATAATTATTGATCACTGTACCACTTAGTGTTTGATCCACTAACACATAAGGGCCATTCATTTATATGGCCTCAGGCTATTTGCAATGTACAGTGTTCTTCTCTTACATCCATCAAGTCTGTTGGCAGAGAATCTGGGCAACATTTGTGAGGTAGGATTAGTGTAGGGATGTGGTTTCCATATGCAGATATGCAGCTTATTTCCTCCTGAGATAGCAGTGCTAATTCTTGGATCCTATCTCCTTTTTTGCACTATTTTCTTGCAGGAAATTGTCACCTGCTTTTCACCAAGCACTACTCTCTTTTTGTCGAATGTCTGCAGATAGTCGTTTAGGATCAGAGGTGAGTTTATATCACAGCTTCCATAAAACATCTCTACTGTTGTAGGGGTGTTTGTCTTTTATAGGGTTTCATACAAAATGTTTATGTTAAGATTGCATTTCAGTTGAAAATCTTTTATTTAAAAGTAATTCTTTAAGAAATAATACCTAAAATTTTAAGCGATAAGGAAGGCCGTTGGTTATTGGTTCAATTGCTGTCTGGCAAACGTCATTATAAAGTCAGTTCAGCTTTCTCGGGCCTTTCTTGATGCAGTTCATTATACAAGCTGTTGCCCTGGCATGGTTGCAGCTTCTTAGGGATCTTTTTAAGGAAAAGGCAAACAAAACAGTAACCATTGAGGAGGCCCTGTTTCTAGGCTATCCCTTCTTCCCAGCATAGTAGGCCTCCCAGGTCTCACCCATACTTTTTTTTAATTGACATTTTGTCTTTTAAGTAAAAATTTGTTTTTCCTGGCATGTAGAATTGTACATGTGTATACACACTGTGACATTTAGATACATCAATGTACAGGATCCACTGAATCTAGATGACTGACACTTGTCATTTCAGATACCATCTTTTGTGTGTTGGAACACATTCAAAAATCATAAATCCTCTCTATGAGCTAATTTGTAATGTTCGGTTCCTTGTTGACCCACCATAGTTCTCCTACTGTGCTGCATCCCAGCTGCTAGGAGAAGTAACTTTGTGTGGTCCTTCTTAGCGCTAGGTGTGTAGCTTAGTAGAGAAGGGCTTGCTTAGTGTTAGCCCCAACACCATAAACATTAAATAAATCATTTATCCCTCATACCCAACTCTAGCCCTTTACTAGCATATTTACTGCACGACTGCCCCACAGAAACGACATTGTCTGAGGCAGTGTTGTTATTATTAGTATGGGATATAATGCTGGAGCTTGTGTTTACATCAAAGGAGACAAGATCCAGAGTGTAAACATTTATCCACCTTTATGCACAGATCATCCACAATCATTTAACTGTTTGGTTTTCTAGGTGTCAAGGATTGCAGACAGTGAAAAAAGTGTTATGTTAATGCTGGGACGCTGCCTGCCACACATTGTTCCTAATGTGCTGTTGGCAAAAAGAGAGGTAAGACACATAAAAGTATTTTCATCCCAGTAGTCTCATCATGTGATCCACTTTGTCATTTTGAAGTTTAGTGTTATATTTTTATTTTGTTAAGTCTGTTACTTGCAATCATATTCTTACTTTTGTGCATGCGTCTCTGCTCCTAGAGAATGGTTTTACACCTCTGTCAGGTGAGTTCAGTAAAACTGCATGGTATTCATAATTTCCAATTTTGCTTAAAGCATTATTATTAGCTTCTGCAGTGCTATTACTGTAGGTCCATTTATGTGTCATGAATGCTGTCATCTTCACATAACCAAAACACTAATTGTTTTTTTTTGTTCTTTTGATGATGTCTTAGATATGTCTACAGAAGTTGACACTCATTGAAATTAACAGACTAATAAATAATAATGTAACGTTTTCCCCAAATACATTTGTAATTGCTTGTTATAAATGTTAGTTTTATTATGCTTGTTTGACAATAACTTATAATGATAGGATAGTTGTAATAGTAACTATAATAACCTTTTAAGGTTCCTTCTTAAGTTTTGTATTTGCATTCTTGGCAGATGCTTTAAATATCCTAGATAAACGTGCAAGTAAATTTTAATACATGTGACCTAGACCATGAGCCAGGAACACATTAGGAAGTTATCTTTATTGTTGTAAATTATTATTACATATATATATTTAGCCAATAAATGATTATGATGTATGCAGTCTTACCATTATCGTGTTAGTGTTTATCACTGATTTTATTCATATTCATGGGACCTACAGTATGATGGGTATATAATGCATTGGCAAAACCCATTTAAAGCTGACCTTAGTTATCTATGTAAGCAAAAGAAATTTGTACTGATCCTCAAGAAAGGATATGTAGAGCTTTGAAAGATTTTATTCCTATAAGTATTCTTAATTTAAAAAATGACTTAAAAGTTTTCATTCCTTTAGATGTTTTTAATTTTTAAAAAGTTTAGAAACTATTCTTGCTGATGGCTTTATTTGTATCTAATTTAAAATGGTTATATGTGTGGAAGTTTTCTAGATCTTGAAGGATCAGTGTCCAATTTCAGATTGTTTTGCAGTTCTGCCTGGCAGGATGGTGTTTGAGCTTTTCCTTTCTCAGCTTGTAATATCTGTGTTATGAATTATTATTGTTTGCATCCCACTTATTGTCCTTCCTCAACATAATCTTTAAGTGTTACCAAACCTGACTTTCATAAATCAGTTTTGCCTTTTTTTCCTTATTAGCATTAAAACACTGTAACTAAAATCTGATTGTGCTGCATGAAGTATTTATAGTTTTGCATCATCAATAACCAGATACCATGTTTGTGTGTGTGTGTGTGTGTGTGTGTGTGTGTGTGTGTGTGTGTGTGTGTGTGTATGTACATGTATACTTTTTTGGCTGATTTTAAATTTTTTATGTTTGAGAATTATTGAATGTTCTTGTAGGTTCATGTAGAACTGATCCTTTTCTCTATTTACTTATTTTTATCTTGTTCTAGTTGATTAAAGTTGTATTATCTAAAAATCAAATTAGTTAATAATAAAGTGTATATTAGCTTGGCTTAAAGCAATTCCCTAGGTGTAAAAGGACAAAACCTTAGAGCATGTGCTTGACACCCATGAGGCTTTAGGTTCAATGTCTAGAGGGGAAAAAAGAAGTAAAACTTGTCTTATTATATCCGATGTTTAATTTATTTTTAATATTTCACCTGTTTAAGTCTGTATTTCTAAAGAGCTCTTGTAATTAAAGGATTGGTATCTGAGACTTTTTTTTTTTTCTTTTTCTTTCTTTGTTTTTCGAGACAGGGTTCCTCTGTAGTCTTGGTTGTCCTGGAACTCACTCTGGAGACCAGGCTGGCTGATCTCGAAGTCACAGAGATCCACCTGCCTCTGCCTCCCTAGTGCTGGGACTAAAGGTGTGCGCCACCACCACCCAGCGAGGCTTTTCTTATTTCTCAAGTTTTATGTGCTTTTTTCAGCATAAGCAGAGCTAAAAAATTTACTCAACTGATGATCATAATAATATCCTAGTTGATTACATAACACATAGAAACAGGGCTTAAGACTTTTAGTAAGTGTGTTACAGTTCTGAGGGGAAAGGCTTATCCAGTGCAAGTGTTACATCTCTGAAGGGAAAGATATCCTTTCAGTCAAGAGCCAAGAAATACCACAAATGCACACCTCACAGAAGAAATTTATTGGGAGAGACACAAGAGGGTAACTGCCTCTACTTGGGCAAGCAGCAGCAGAGAACTGAGCAGTCAGCAGACTTTGTATAGGGTTCCTTGGAGCTGGAGCTGTCCAGGATTGGAGGGATTTTGTAGTCTGATCTTGGGCTTTTTTTTTTTTTTTTCTGTAGGGCGGGTCCTGGCCACTCTCCCATCTCAAGGGGCCGGAAACTGCCATTATGGCCCAAGTCTTGGGGTTGGGCCCTAGCCACTCATGTGCTTTGAAGCAATACATTAAAATGGATTAACTTTTTTTAAAATAGAAAAAGATATATAGCACAAACCCTTTTCCCCCATCCCACATATAATTTTACTAACTTCTAATGTTTTTTTCCAAGTCCTTTACCATTTTTAATTGGACTGTCTGCATATGTTTTAGCTGTAAGAATAGAGATCTTCATATATTCTGGATATGAAACCCTTATCACATATGACTTGCAATCATTTTATAGTTAGCTCTTATATTGATTATTGAGCTGACATATGCTCAAGAGAAAAAGTTTTGCCTATTAAAGGCCTTTGCCACTTCTGTTGACAATCAGCTACTAGAGATTGTTTGGGTCTGAGAATCTCAATTCTATTCCATTGGTCTGTATATCCTAGTCTTATCCTTAAGCCACTCTCGTGCCTTTCTATTGCTCTGGTTTTTAGTAAGTTTAAATAATTGGGACACCTGAGTCTTCCATTTTACCTGTTTAATATTACTTGCTTATATTGGACCCTTGCACTTATATTTAATGCTCAATTTCATTTTCTGCAAAAACAGGCCATGGGAATTTGATCTGTTCATGACTTAGGGAGCACTGCCATCCTACCAACATTATCATTGTCTTCCCTGCATGGGTGTGTGTGTCGTGTCTTGTCTCTCCCCCCCCCCCCCCCCCACCGGGAGTGTTGCAGGGAGGGGGGCGGGGCTCAAGACCTGGTTTTCAATGTGTAGCCTTAACTGTTCTGAAACTTAGTAGAGGGGCCTGGCCTTGCACTCAGAGAGGTCCACAATGCTGTGGGATAATGCTCTTGTACACTGTCAAGATTTCTCACTCAAATTGGTTTAATAAAACACTGATTGGCCAGGAGCCTATAGGTGGGGCAACCAGAGTAGGAGAATTCTGGGAAGAGGAAGGACGAGTCAGGAGTTGTTGCTAAAGTTTTCTTGCCTGGCCCACAGTCAGGACAAATCTCTCTCACCTGCCAGTCCCACCGTCGCTCAGACCCAACCAAGTAAACACAGAAACTTATATTGGTTACAAACTGTATGGCCGTGGCAGGCTTCTTGCTAACTGTTCTTACAGCTTGAATTAATCCATTTCTATAAATCTATACCTTGCCACATGGCTCATGGCTTACCGGCATCTTCTCTTCACATGCTGTTTGTCATGGTGGCGGCTGGCAGTGTCTCTCTGACTCAGCCTTCCACTTCCCAGCTTTATTCTCCTCCTTGTCCTGCCTATACTTCCTGTCTAGCCACTGGCCAATCAGTGATTTATTTACTGACCAATCAGCGACACACTTGACAAACAGACCATTCCACAGCAAGGAGTAGCCAGCCAGATGCAGAGGAAGCAAGATGAGAGTGTTGTACTGAGAAAAGGTACTGAGCCATGTGGCTAAACATAGATAAGAATTATGGGTTAATTAAAGTATAAGAGCTAGTTAATAATAAGCCTGAGTTACCAGCCAAGCACTTATAAGTAATATTAAGCCTCTGAGTCTGTTATTTGGGAAGCAGCTGCTGGGTATTTGGAAGTTGCTGGTGGGACAGAAACTTGGCCTACACCACCTGCCTCTGCCTCCCAAGTGCTGAGATTAAAGGCGTGTGCCACCACAGCCAGCCTGTGTCATGGCTTTCATTTCTTCATCAGTGCTTTAGCTTCTTGATTACATTTATCCTCAGTATTTGTTCTCTTAGTTGGTATTACAAATGAGAGTTTTTAATCAATTCTCTTTTTAGATCACTCATTGCTAATGTATAGAAATATGAGAAATGTTTGTGTGTTCATTTATAATACATTGTAACTTAAAGTGAATTTGTTTTCATTATTGATAGTTTGCGAGTTCTGTGGTGTTTTCTGTAAGTACAACTACAAAATCTACATGGATAGTTTTGGAGACTTGGGTAGCCTTCCTTTATTCCTGTGGTTTAAATACTCTGTATAGGATTAGGAATAAACTTTGAATAGGACATTTACTTTTTGGTCCTTTTGTGCTTATTCCCCCTTCTCTAGCACAAATGCACACTGATCTGTTATTCTGAGGTTTCTTTTGGTTTGTGTTTTCTTTTTTAAAAATTTAAAATTGAGGATAGAGCAATGACTAAACAGTTAAGAGCACTTGCTGCTCTTCCAGAGACCCTGAGTTCAGTTCTTGGCACCCACATGAGGTAATTCAAAGCCATCTAAAACTCCAGCTGCAAGGAATCCACTTTCAGGACTCTATACACACATCCCCAACATATGCTCATACAGATACATGCGCATAAGTAAAAAAAAGTTATCTTTAAAAACTACTTAAGATTTTTTGATACTTTAACGTATGGACACATACATAGGACTGAAGAGATGTCTCAGTGAGTAAAGTGATTTCCCTTGTAAGCCTGACAACCTGATTTAGGATGCTGAGAACTAACTTAAAAGTCAGATGCAGAGCCAGCAGCCATGGTGCACACCTTTAATCCCAGCACTCAGGAGGCAGAAGCAGGTGGATCTCTGAGTTCGAGGACAGTCAAGGCTACACAGAGAAACCATCTCCAGGGAGTGGGGTGGGTAATAAAGCTAGATGCAGTAGTACATGTGACTATAATCTCAGCACTCCTGTGAGGAGATAGGAAGTGGAGACAGGAAAATCCCCAGAAACTGACGGCTACCACACAACAGTGAGTAAGTGGGACCCTGTCTCATGGGTATTGACCAACACCAGAGGTTGTCCTCTGGCTTCCACACTTGTGCTGTTGCAAGTGTGCGCACGTGCGCGCGCACACACACGCACACAGAGTAGGGGAGGAAGAGATTAGGGAGCTGAGGAGATGGCTCAGTAGATAAGAAGATCAGAGTTTGGATCCCCAGTACCCACATAAATATTGGCTGGACTGGCAGCTCAGCTATAATTCAAGCCTTGGAAGGCAGAGACGTGTGACGACAACAGGATCCCTGAAGCAAGCTGGCTAGCAAAACTAACCATATTTTCAAACTGTGGGTTTGACTGGGAGACTACCCCAAAGAATAAGGTAGAAGAGCAATTGAGGATGATGCCATACATCAGCTTTGGGTCACACACACCACGTGCATGCATATGAAATGAAAAAGCAGGGAGGACTGAAAAACATGGATTCAACTTTTCCTACATGAGGGGGAAATTACCTTTTAGACTTCATATTATTAGAGTTATAATTACTATAGGTATTTTCTTAACCATGGTGGTTTTGACTTTGCTTTTGTGTAAAAAAGCAAATCCTTAAATCTCTAGAAATGACATCTTATGCATTGCTGTGTTACTTTTGATACATTCAATTTAAAATTGACAAAGACTTTTTTTTTAAAGATTTATTTATTTATTTATTATGTATACAGCATGTATGACTGCATGCCAGAAGAGGGCACCAGATCTCATTACAGATGGTTATGAGCCACCATGTGGTTGCTGGGAATTGAACTCAGGACCTCTGGAAGAGCAGTCAGTGCTTTTAACCTCTGAGCCATCTTTCCAGCCCCAAAGATATTTTTCTAAGTGTCACTTTGTCTGCTTAGAGAAATTTAACTTAGATATAGCAGTCAGAATTACAATGAAAGTTTTTAAAGGGTTAGAGTTCTTGAATTAGAGGGATGATGTCAAAAGAGAATGTTGATCCAGTTTGTGAATGGATGTGTAATGAGTAAAATGGTGAACAGTAATCTCCAAGGTGTGGATATGTTAGTGCTTCAAAAACTTAGAGGTGAATAATTAACAGAATTGGGATTGTGTGTAGCCAACCCAACTTAACAGGTCAAATTCTAGTGTCGATCTGTGCCGTTTCTGTGAACAGACCACTCTTAATGTTTTTATCATTATCTCTATCAGCACTGTGAGGAAGGAGCTATCTGGCAGACTTTCCCTGCTGAGTTTCACAGGTCACAGCCATTAATGTATCAAGGTGTACCCAGTTACCTTGGTATGGAGCATCAACCAAAAATTAGTGACAGTGACTTCCCATATACTGCAAATTTTACCAGCAAGAAATTAAATAAGATAACAATAGAAACTATTAACAGCTCTCATTTCAGAAAATAAAAAGTAGGGGTTTTTTCTTCGAAATTCCAATATCTTAATTGTTAGACTAAACAGACCCAAACTTAGTTGCTTTACTTCTCATGTTCCAGTTTGGATTCTTTGGTAATGGCTACTATGTTGAGATACTTTTTAAAGCCAACTTTGATCTCATGAGATCAGTGTTTCCTCTGTGAATACATTTAAAAATGTATGTTTAAAAAACGCTTGTCATCTCTACATTAATTTAAATTTCTAACTTGAGGAAGCAGAAAGAAATGTTTGCCTTTGCTTAGTACGGAGAAGTAAGCCAAGGCAGGGACTCTCATAGCTCCTGGGGCACTGTTGTCTCAGCCGTTTGAGATTCTTCTATTGAGAATTCTGTTTAGCTCTGTACCCCATTTTTTAATTGTATTATTTGGGTTTTTGATGTCTAGTTTCTTGAGTTCTGTATAATTTTGGAGGTCAGCCCTCTGTCAGATGTGGGGATGGTGAAGATATTTTCCCATTCTGTAGGCTGCCTTTGATGGTGTCCTTTGCCTTTCAGAAGCTTTTCAGTTTCATGAGGTATCACTTATTAATTGTCCATCTTCGTATCTGTGCTATTGGTGTTCTATTCAGGAAGTGTTCTCCTGTGCCAATGCATTTGAGATTATTTCCCACATTCTCTTCTATCAGGTTCAGTGTATCTGAATTTATGTTGAGGTTTTTGAACCACTTTGACTTGACTTTTATATAGGGTGATAGATATGGATTGTTTGCATTCTTCCATATGCCAACATCCAGTTATGCCAGCACCATTTGTTGAAGATGCTTTCTTTTTTCTATTGTATAATTTTGGCTTCTTTGTCAAAAATCAGATGTCCATAGGTTTGTGGATTTACTAATAGGTCTTTGATTCGATTCCATTAATCCACTGCCTGTTTTTATGCCAAAACCATGCTGTTTTTATTACCTTAGCTCTGTTGTAGAGCTTGAAATCAGCTTGAGATTGGGGATGGTGATACCTCCAGAACTTCTTTTATTATACAGAATTGTTTTAGCTCTCCTGGGTTTTTTTGTTTGTTTGTTTGTTTTTCCATATGAAGTTGAGTATTGTTCTAAGATCTCTAAAGAATTGTGTTGGGATTTTAATGGAAATTGTGTTGAATCTGTAGATTGCTTTTGGTAAGATGGCCATTTTTACATGGCAACTTTTGTAAAGGAAAATATTTAATTAGGGCTGGCTTACAGTTTCAGAGGTTTAGTCCATTATCATCATGGTGAGAAACATGATAGTATGCAGACAGACATGAACAGCAGGAGGCTGGGACACACTGGGTGTAGCTTGAACATATAAAAACCTCAAGGCACGCCTCCACAATGACACATTTTCTCCAACAACACCACGAGTGCTACTCATTATAGGGCAAGCATTCACACACAAGTCTGTGGGTGTCATACCTATTCAAACCACCAAGCATCCAATGAGGTCATACAGGACTTGAATGTATGTCTTGCATTCTTGGTGTAGAACTATTTTTCCTGATTTCTGTCATTTTTCAGTTGATGTTTAGTCTAAAATCCATATAGGCATCCAGATAGGGTGATTGAAATAACAGAATAAGTACTTCATAGTTTTTACATCTCACATTTGTTTAGAGTTCCTCTTGTTTAGATTTACAACTTCAAATTTAAAATTTATATTAAGTAATTAAAAATTTCATATGAAATATAAAAACCTTGAAAAAAAGAATTTAGTCATGCTTTTCAGATCCAATCCCAACTCTAAAAATTATGTACTTCTAAGGAAGCAACTGCACACTTTAAACATGCTTCTCTTACAGGGTTAATGTTAGCAGTTGTTTTCTTAGGCTCTAAGCTGTGGATGATAATCATGCCTTAGTTCTGTTCACATGTGCCATGGTCTTAGTTTTTTGTTTTGTTTTGTTTTGTTTTGTTTTTTGGTTTTTCGAGACAGGGTTTCTCTGTGTAGCTTTGTGCCTTTCCTGAAACTGACTCTGTAGCCCAGACTGGCCTCGAGCTCACAGAGATCCACCTGCCTCTGCCTCCCGAGTGCTGGGATTAAAGGCGTGTGCCGCCGCCGCCGCCGCCGCCGCCGCCGCCGCCGCCGCCGCCGCCGCCGCCGCCACCACCACCACCACCACATGTTCTTAGTTTTAATTTACTTATTTATACTTTGGGACAGGTACTTCAGTAGATGGGAAAGAAGTTTAGTTTGAAGCATTTCTCTCCAAAAATTTCTTTTTACTACTAGATTTGAAAATTCACTCAAATGGAAATTATAATATATTCAAGGTTCAGAATATTTTCTTAATGAAAATGTGGAACAGCTTTAATTTCATACATTCCTATGAAAAAGAAACTTGACAGTTACTTTCCTTAAAAAATGTTTGTTACTTCTGCATGTTAAATGTGCGATGAAATATAGTTTAAATTTTCAGTTTAATATCAAATATTTCTGATTGTAGTCAGTAGTAATACCCACTGATTTGCACATATAGCCCAGAAATGGTCTTTTTTACTAGATACTGGATTAAATATGAAGGGTACAAAATTAGTAGGTTTTAGTTCATCCTGAGAGAAGCATATTGTGTGTGTGTGTGTGTGTGTGTGTGTGTGTGTGTGTGTGTGTGTGTGTGTGTGTAAAGGAATTTTTGCTATTTTGTTTGGGGAAAGATTTTTGTGGTTTTATTTATTTTGATTTTTGTTTACCTGTGTTTGTTTTTGACTTGGAATTTTGTTGTTGTTGGGAGGTGGTATATGTAGTGTTGGTTGGAGGTCAAGGCCTTACACATACAAGCTAAGTAAGTATGTTATCTTTGAGATGCATGCTCGATTTCAGGGAAAAGTTTCGTTTTTGTTGGTTTTTCTTTTCTTTAACTTTAGATGCTTTAAAAATATAGTGAACTTTTGCAAGAAATTTAAAACACTTTCCAAATTAAAATTATTATCAGTTTGTCAAATGAGATGTTATTTAGTATAAAAACCTAGTGGATCCTTGGCTAATACTGAATAAGAAAAGGTTAGTTGAATCTTAAGTAACTTTTATTACACTGGGGTTTATCCTCCTATATAACCAATACATACATATTTATAATGATATTCTTCTGTTTGTTGAGGCTTAAGTTCGTTTTAAGTATATTCTGGAAGAAAAAATAGGTTATACACAATGTATTTTTATTTTGAATTTCTCCACCCTCCTATTTCTTTAGGAGTTGATCCCCCTCATCTTGTGTACAGCATGCCTGCACCCTGAACCTAAAGAAAGAGACCAGCTCCTCCACATACTCTTCAACTTGATCAAGAGGCCAGATGATGAGCAAAGGTGGGTGGACAGGGCTAAACAAATGCAATGCTGATGTGCTCACTTTTCTCAATGAGCATCAGATTTGGTGATTTAGTCTACAGGCCTTTTTTCCTTCCCAGTATGGATTTCGGTGTGCTGGAACTCTCCATCGTGTGTGTGACTTTATGTGTTGTCATCGAGCTTGCTTTCCTTCTGTTTACCTCCTCTTTTAAAGAACATGCAGTTTGCACCAACAAATAGACACATGATAGGGAAAACACTCTGAGAAGTTAAACCTGTGGAAATAAGTAAGTTCTTGAAGCAAAAATAGCTGTGAAAAGTATGCACATCCTGTTGAGCCCCTACTCTTAAAAATTACTGATAAATAGGCCGGGCGGTGGTGGCGCACGCCTTTAATCCCAGCACTCGGGAGGCAGAGCCAGGCGGATCTCTGTGAGTTCGAGGCCAGCCTGGGCTACCAAGTGAGTTCCAGGACAGGCGCAAAGCTACACAGAGAAACCCTGTCTCGAAAAACCAAAAAAAAAAGAAAAATTACTGATAAATAAGTCTTTGCAAAGTGAATTGGTGCCTTGTTCTCAAAGTATTAATTTATCATGGACTCTAGACATGTGTATTTACTGAAGGATATTACCAAAACTATCTTATATTTTGATCTGGAAATTCTATTAATTCAAATCTATTCATACCCTTTCCTCATTTCTAATACAGAGGCATTTCTTAGTGCTCAGTGGTTACGTTATAGCTGAGACTTCATTATAAAGAGGATAGAGCAAGCTGCATAAACCTTCTAGTGTACTTCCACGTGGTATAGGCAAATCAGTGCTTCCTTAGTCTGCAAAATGCAAGAAGCCATAGTTATGTGACATGGAGAAAATTGATGGCACAAGCATTCTCATATCCTTAGATAGGAAACTAGCCTTATCTACCTAAGGGCTACTTTGAATGAGTGCTAAGACCTAGAAATTCAGGTAGTAATAAAACCCTGATAGGGCCAGGCAGTGGTGGCACAGGCCTTTAATCCCAGCAGTTGGGAAGCAGAGGCAGGCAGATCTCTAAATTCAAGGGTAGCCTGCTCTTTAGAGTGCAGAATGGGTTCCAGGACAGGCTCCAAAGCTACACAGAGAAACCCTGCCTGGGGAGGTGGGGCGGGGAGGTGGCGGGGGGGGGGGGGGGGGGGGGTTACTTGTTAGGTTCTACTATGGATTTTCCTCGTTTAAAAATAAAGAAATGCTCCAGCAGAAAGCAAGTTTCTTTTGATTTGTTTGTTTTTAATCTTGAGAGAGAGACTTTCTGATTTGAGATGGCAAGTAGTTGCCATTTCAAGAATTTTTCTTTGTGAAGACATAGACTCCTTGGGGTGCGGGGAGTAAAGTGTGAGCAGTGAGCATTTGTCAGAAAGAGGTACTTGGGAAATAGCTATCCCTGAATGAAGCTCGATTAGGAAAACTAGTATCAGATCGGAAAGTATCAGCTGCCCTAAGAATAGGTGGAGGATACTGAGCGAGACAGCCATTGCTTTGCAGAAGGAAACTGGTTGTTCCCTCTTCAGTCCACAGTCTAAGATTTTCCAGTCAGAAGAGACAGAAAGGAAGATGCAAGGGGCATACTTTTGACAAAACCATGCGGTCTTTGATAAAATCCTGTAAGCCAAAGAAAGACCAGAAATCACCCAAGAAAGTACACCTTTCATCTTAGTGATTGGCAGGCCATCTCCAATTTTTTTATTAACATAAATTCTTGTTGTGAAGAAAATAAGAACTGAGGCGGCAGTGAAATCATGTGACTAATCCTGCACTCAGGAGAGAGTGGCAGATGGTTTTGTTAGTTTGAGGCCAACCTGCTCTACATAGTGAGTCTCAGTTTAGCCAGCACTGTATAGAGAGACACTGTCTCAAAATGAAAAAAAGAAAGAAAAAGGAAAACCAAGTTCTGAAAAAAGGAGAAAAGCAATTCAGTACAGCACATAAAGTATCTCATATGCCTGAAGTATCTCAGGAGTAAAACTCATGTGTAGTTTCTTCCTGTATCTCAAAGCAAATCAAAGTTGGAACCGTTTTCTCTTAGAGAAACAGAATTATCATGAGTCCCCATAAAGTTCACTGTAGAATGAGCATAGTGGTGATTCTGAAAATTTATAGTAAATTTGAGCATAGTGCAGTGACATGTGTGAAACATCATAATAAAATTAATATACTAAAATAATATAAATTTATATATAATTAATATATTCATATTAATGTTGATATAATTAATATAACATATTAACATATTAATATAATAAATTAATGTAAAATTAATATAAAATCAGTATAATAACTACAGATTTAATAATCGTCATAATAAAATCCACAATAATGTTGTACCTTGAAAAATAATTTATTATAGAAACATAAATATTATTTGACATTCTGGAAAGGAATCAGGAATTGATGGCTGTTATAAAACAGAAAGGAACTCAAAGAAACATTACAGGTAAAAAAAATCTATAGGGAATTTTAGAGGGGAAAGTCAGGAATAACAAGGTACCAGAAAGAAAACATAAAATATGCAAGTTTTTCAAATTCACATTATAGGCCTCATAGATTTAACACTACTGAAAACTAAACACATGTTATAAATGATAAATTTCAAATATCAATAAGCCACTGTGTTATCTGGCTTCCTGGAAGACTGAAGAACTGATTGTCCAAACATCTGGTTTCAATAATTCCCAAGAACTCTTCAAAACTGGCTCATAGTCTATAGTGATAGACAGAATGTAAATTCACATCTTCTTCTAACATGATTATATAAAATATCTTGACATACATCAGTGTCTTTCTAAATGGCATAAGTATTATTTTATCAGCAGCTTGATAACCTTGAAAGCCAAGTGGCATACTTACAATTTCATTCAGGATAAGTTTACAGAATTACATATAAAAGGCCTAGCAATTCTTCTATAAACTTTACCGTAACTTAAACATCCCTTATAATCACTTTTCATGAACTTAGCCATCCATGTATTTATCCATCCTTCTATGACTTAAAATGAGCAAATTAGTTTATAATCTCTGAACGTTGGTTCCAGTCAACTCTTCCACACTGAAATCCAGTTTCTCTTTCATTGTGAAAGGCTTTGAAGTCTGAAGTTGTGTACAAGTGAATAAAGGAGCCCTTACTCACTGTATTTAATAAACAGGGGAAAGAGCCTGAACTGTGAACAAGTTTTCTACAGTTATTTCATTGTTATTCCAGTGACTTGTGTTGAATTTGTGCACTGGAGTTAGTTACCTATGGACATTAATTCGTATTATCTCCCTGCTTTCCTACTTATGCTTCATTTCTCCTAAGTGTTCCCATTTTCCCACACAGATGAACATAGTATGTCATAATGATTAGTCTTTATGAAAAGGCTGGAGAGATGGCTAGGTGGTGAAGAGCACTGGCTGCTCTTCCAGAGGTCCTGAGTTCAATTCCCATCAACCACATGGTGACCCACAACCATCTATAGTCGGGTCTGATGCCCTTTTCTGGCATAAAGTTAATAAATAAATTATTTTTTAAAAATTTGTTAAATTAAAAACAATAAATATTTGTACCACTGAGTTATCAATATACTGTTGGCTTTATCTCCAGAGAAATACAATATTTAGGCCACAACCAAAGAAAATATAGTTATTCCAGGGAGAAATTTATTTTCATCTAAATCAGTGGTTTTCAACCTTCCTAATGCCCCGATCCTTAGTACAGTTTCTTCATGTTATGGTGACCCCAATCATAAAATTATTTTTATTGCTACTTTGTAAGTGTAATTTGCTATGGTTGTGAATCATAATGAAAATATCTGATATGCAGGATATCTGAGATGTGACCCCCCCCCCCCCCAGGTTCGGAACTGCTAATCTAAATGTTGATTTGCTTGCTTGAGTACACAGAAAATTTATGCTCTAAAGCAAAGGCTATGAATAGCTCATATTTCAGTTGTAGGGGAGGGTCTGCTTTGGTCTTATAATAGCTAGCCAATCTGTGAATTTGGCTCTTTGTCAGAATCTAACAGAATTTAGCATCTTTATCTTTCCTCGTCTCTCAATATTATTGAGAACAGAAACCATTTTGTTAATTAATTGGCAGAGACCCTAAGGAAGATCAGGAGTGAGTTAGTTCATTGGCTACAGTACTTCAAAAACATTATTGCCCATCACACAACATATGCAACACCATGTGGGTTCCTCGGGATCACACCGATATCTGGGGGAGTCAGATCTGTTCTTTCAACATAAGTCAGGTTGGGACTTATGCAGCAGTGGATGGGACAGAACTACCTGGAACAGGTCTTTCCTAGAACATGCGTGCAGCCCCTAATAGCAGCAGTTAGGAACAAATAGCGTGGACTCACTATAGGACAGCAGCTTGCACACAGGAACTCGGGATTGGTTTGATGAAGAAAGTGTGTTGTCTACCTTAAGTAAAATGTGGCCGGGCGGTGGTGGCGCACGCCTTTAATCCCAGCACTCGGGAGGCAGAGGCAGGTGGATCTCTGAGTTCGAGGCCAGCCTGGTCTCCAAAGCGAGTACCAGGAAAGGCGCAAAGCTACACAGAGAAACCCTGTCTTAAAAAAACCAAAAAATAAAAAAATTTTAAAAAAAAAAAGAAGTAAAATGTTCTAAGTAAAGCTGCATGGGAGTCTGGCCATAGGGAGATAAAGCACCAGTGGATAGAATAATGCACCTGGATGGTTTTTCTATTGCAATCTTTATCTTAATAATAAAAGGGTTTTGCTTGTGTTTTGTAAAATGGAGTTGTGCTTTGTAAGTGTTTATCTCATTTTAGAGCTTCTTTTTACATCTTCTGTTGTAACATATGAGTCATGAGACATAAAGCTGGGAACTTGAAGTAGAAGGAGCTCCAAAGTTATGATCACATAGCCTAAGATATCCTGACACTTACACTATGTCTCTGTCTGTTGTTCTTAGTAGAATGTACCCAAGAACAAGTGGAGAGACTTGTCCTCAGTACACAGCCAGTCGGGTGTCACTAGCGACCTGCATGCACACTAGTCAAGTAGAAATAAGGGAAATTAGATCGCTATAGAAATACCATCTAACTTGAAAGTTTTCTAAGGACGGTTGGTGATCCTATACAGGAAAATGCATGTCTCATATCTCATTTTCTTCTTTTAAAAAGTGCCTTTCCCCATCTTGGTAACTTAGTAATGAAATACCAGTTTAAGTTTGCAAGGCAAAACTATTTTTTGGGTTTTTTGTTTTTTGAGACAGGCAAGGCAAAACCTAAACATAACCACTGCCACCTGGTGGCCAAGCCTTCACATCAGAAATAAAGCATTCCTGCCTCTTGTGTTTTCATCTTACAGAAATACAAATTTTATTAAAACAGACTAATAACAATAATTCACATTATTATATAATATAAATGAAAAGTAGATGTATTTGTTAGCATCTGCTTGATAGATAGCTACTTGTTATTTTTCTTTAGTTAATTAATCTCAGACTTCTTTAATAGTATCCCAATAAAACCTAGTTTTGTACTCCATGATGATACTTTCTGCAATGCTTTGGCAACAGCCATAAATGATACCATATTTCTAGCTAAATCGTTTGCTAATTAGTCTTATTTTTTACTGTTGTAGTAGCCCACTTACAATGCTATTAACAGTGTATTAGCCATCTGATATTTTCTATTTTGAACTGCATTTCAGAGCTATCACTTTTTCCTTTTGACGTTTAGATGTGGTTTGTATAGTGGTAGTACATGATTTCAAGTTCTGTACATGTATAGCATGAAGAAATATTGTAAGTGCTTAAAATTTGTGTGCCAGTGACTATGACCAGGGTCCAGGGCTTCATGCATGTGTGTTTGTTAGCCAGAAGGCAATTTGGGCACTTTCCTCGGGCACAATGCATAGTTTTACTTTTGTTGGCACTAAGGATAGAGCCCAGGGACCTACAGATGATCAGCAAGTGCACTACCACTGACCTATAGCTCCAGACCTGACCCTTGAAACAGATGCCTCAGAGAGCCCACAGATCTGCCTGAACTGGGCTTACAAGTGTGCCCTATCATACTTGGATTTTTCTACATGCTTTCTTTCTAAGAAAGTAATTATAATTATCAAACATTTGTGGTTGGTATAAAAATACTGTTATATTAGAAATGTCTCATGAGGAAGCAGGTGACAGAATTTCTCATTGTATTTTCTTTTATTCACTAGGGGGAAATACAAGAAATAGAAAATCAAAATGAAAAACTGAGAAATAGAAACATAGTGATATAAGTGAAAGGGAATTTGTGTAGTAAAATTTCCAAAGATTGGGTTAGAGTGTAACTTGGATAGTTTGAGGTCCTGGATTTGGTCCTCAGCACTGCAATTAAAAATAAGTGCATATGTATATTAATATATTAGTATATATGGACTGTGGTGGGTAGAAAGTTGCTATAATACATAATAAAGACATTAACTTGAAAAATTGAGACACAGCAATAAGGATTCTTAGAATTGACTCTTTTCTTGTTTATTTTTTGATTTGTCTTAGTTTGAGTTTGTTTTGAGACAGGGTTTCACCATCTAGTCCTTACTGGCCTGGAACTTATATAAACCAGACTGGCCTCCACTCACAGAAATCTGCTTACCTTGTCTCCCAAGTGCTGGAATTAAAGGGGTGCCACCATTCCTGGCTGTTTAACTCTTTTTAACTCGTGGTTGTAGTTCTATTTTCTAATGCATATACAAGGGTTTTTCCTATTATTTTCAGGCAGATGATACTGACAGGTTGTGTGGCATTTGCACGTCATGTTGGACCAACACGAGTGGAGGCTGAACTTTTACCGCAGTGTTGGGAACAGGTAAGTTACCTCTTGACTTCCTTAGCTGTTTTGTTCTTATACCTGAAGGTTTATATTTTCTTTTTAAAGCACATGGGGAAATCCATGAAATGTGAATTATGCTACTGTCAATAGCTCAGCACATGATTTATTTGCACAAAAGAATGCTCTGGGATGCTTTGCTTTATTCATTCATTCAGCAGATACTTAGAAAACACTAAGTCCAGTGCCGGGTACTAGTGTAGTAACGAGGAAAACAGTGTGAAGAAAGACAAAGTAGAGGACTGAATGTGATAGAAAACATTGCCCTCCCGTGAGGACGTGCTGTTGAACCAAGAGTCTGAGTGAAGTAAGGTGTGACAAGTACAAAGACCCTGCACTGTTTGCTTGGTGAGCTTGAGGGAGAGTGAACTGTGTGTGTGTGTGTGTGTGTGTGTGTGTGTGTACGCACATGTGCATGCAAATGGAAAACCTGTGTAGATTATAGATACATGCATTATGCAAAGTGTAAAACGTATATAGCAAGTTTATATATTTATAATTAAATTCATTTTACTGGAGTAGTTTTACTTTTTTTAAAATAATTTATTTTTATTTTGTATTCATTGGTGTTTTGCTTCCATGTGCATTTGTGTGAGGGTGTCAGAAGCCCTGGAACTGGAGTTACAGACAGGTGTGAGCTGCCATGTGGGTGCTGGAAATTGGACCCAGGTCCTCTGGAAGAGCAGACAGTGCTCTCAACTGAGCTATTTCTCCAGCTCTCCCCCTTTTTTTAATTAATTAATTTTTATAATTTTACTTTTATAATGTATGCTAATATTCAAGTCCTGAAGAACTCAGATGTACTAGGTCAGAAAGCACCTCATCACATCACCTTTAAAAGATTACTTTCTCATTATAGTTATAAAGCCCAATTTAAAATAGTCTTCTTGTTGTTTAAAAAAAAAAATAATTGGTCACAAGTAACCCCAGTGTGTCACTGTTTAAAGTTCTAACCCTATTTCTTTGGGCATTCATTTTATTACTAAAGTGGTAGAGCAACCAGGTTCAGTGTATAAATTGAACAGTGTAGCACAGTGTACTACTAATTACCTCTGACAGTGGCACGCAGCATCTCTGTTACAAAGCATGCTAATTTAGGGTGTGTTTCTAACTGCTTAAAGTCAAAAAAAAAAAAAAAAGAAGAAGAAGAAGCTGGGGGGGGGGGGGGGGGGGGGGAGGCGGGAGGCGGGGGGGCGGTGGCGCACGCCTTTAATCCCAGCACTCGGGAGGCAGAGCCAGGCGGATCTCTGTGAGTTCGAGGCCAGCCTGGGCTACAGAGTGAGTTCCAGGAAAGGCGCAAAGCTACACAGAGAAACCCTGTCTCAAAAAACAAACAAAAAAAAATGCACTATGAAACTTGGAATTTGTAAGTCTGTACGACTATTCATGTGTATACATTTAATGTTGTGTAGTTTTTCCATTTTCTCTTTTTAGCTTGCATTTGTCGAACTGAGCACAGAGATAAACACATGTAATCCCAGCACTCAAGAGACAGAGGAGTTCAGGCTAGACCCTGCCTCAAAAACCCTAATAAAATTTTAAAAGTAAAAAATTGTACCAGACATACTGGTGCATGTCTGTAATTTCAGTACTGGCGAGGCTGGCCAGAAGGTGCTGTGAGTTCTAGCAAGCCTGGGTTAATTTCTCAAAAGCATCCCCCAAAAAAGAGTTTTGTTAATTCCAGTGCCACCTGGAGTCTTATCACTGAATGGCTTTGGTGTGTTAACAGTTACGTTCATCTCTGCATCCAGTTTGAAAATTAAAGCTTTTTATTACCCCCAACACAAATGTGCTGTTAGGACTGTTGTGGCTACTATGGGTCTCTTAAATCTCCATATGAAGTTTAAGATCTCTCATTTCCATAAAGAAGCCAACAGGGATTTTGTTTTTTTTTTTTTTTTTTCTGTAATTTATTGAGTCTGTAGATGGATCTGGAGAGGATTCCCATCCTGATTATATAAGTTTCCAATCTGAGTTTAGGGTTCCTTTCCATTCATCAGTCTTTTAAAATATCTACCATAGTGGTTTGTAGTTTTTAAAATGTATGCTTTGTACTTATTTTTTTCCTAAGTACTTTAGTTGTAAAGTTAGTTCATTAATTGAAGAAATAATTGATTTGGTATGTATACATACATGAGACATGATATGCTAGACTGAGAAGGAACGAGGTCACACTTTAAGCACAGGCCTCTGATATTCAGACTCTGCTTTCAGAGCACTTGTGACCAGGTTAGATTTAGCTCAGAGACGTTAGTTACACACATCTCTGCCATCTCTTCTGTAACCTTTATGATCATGGTCAGGGATCTAGCTAGCCACCTACCTCTAGTTTGTTGCCCAGTAGATTTCTATATAATTTCTTTTCTTAATTTTAGGCATCCAAAACATTATTGAATTATATCATCTTTTGATATGGGAATATGAGAACAGATATACTTCTTTTCCAGTCAAAGAAAGATTTATATTCTATGAAGAAGACATATGGGAACAAAGCCCAGTATGTGACTTTCTTTTATTTTTTGTTCCAGTTCAGTGTAGTCATCACATAGCAAAACTCCACTGTTTTGCATATACAAACTTTTCTTGCAGGAAAGAAGTCTTCTTAAACGGAACATAGAGTTCTTACGTAGCTGGTTAAAGTGTGGCTAACCTATTGGCTAGCCCCAGGGGGAGAAAACAGACTGGTGTCTATCACACGTCAAGTCTCTAAGGTCCAGAAGATTTCTCCACCTTCTGTTGCTAGGAGAAGTGCTTGCCTCTTCTGACATCCTAAGAGAGCCTAGTCCTAGGGAAACACACGATTTCTAGATACCTTGCCAATTCCTCGTCTTTGATTTTCCCATTTTTCTTTAACAGATACCCCTGTGCCTTGATGTTTAGGCTCCCCTTGATTCCTTTATTCCTGACCCAGGTATAGACATACAGGGAGTCCCAGAGGTGGAAAAGGAAGACAGTGTACTATATTCTTAACAAGATGTATGGTGAAAAGTAGTTGTCTTTTGGAAGAAGAGAGAGTGTGTTACTTACACTTGACTGATGTACTTGTTTTTGACACCAGATTAATCACAAATATCCAGAAAGAAGACTGCTTGTGGCAGAGTCCTGTGGAGCGCTGGCACCTTACCTTCCTGTAAGAATTTCTATTTAACAATAGAGTGTCTTGTGTTGTACATTTTCATCCACTCTTTTAGCCATGCTATTGTAACAAAAGAAAGAGAGGCTCACACTATTGCAATGTTTTTGTAACCAAGTATATCCTAATTGGTTGTTCGTGCATATGTAACTATGCCGGTAATTCTGACAGTATGTTCTGAGGACCCTGGGAAGTTCCTTGTGGTTCTTTCAAAGAGGTATATAAGGTAGAACCTATTTTCCTTATAAGATCTCTTTTGTCCCTCACATATTTACACATACAGTGTTGGTGAAGAAGTAGTAGTGGACAGCAGTGCTCCTGCATGGCACTGATCAGAGAGGTGGCCCTCAAATGTTCTAACAAGGACTGTGCGCTTCACAGCCACATATTGCCAAAGCAAGCCAGTTTCATTCACAAAAGGACTTTGCTTAATCAGTAAAATTATTAATTTTACTATGTTCTCACCCTTGAATCTTCGTAATGTTCTATGATACAAAAATGAAAATGATAATAGAAAATGCTTTGGCTGCAGACTGACATTTGGCAGGGTTTTCAGGAAAAGCACTTAGGTTTGTGTTTGAGCACTGAGGGCAGTAGCTGGTTTCTTTCCTGGGGTATCAATTTTTCTCAGCAGAACCACATACTGTCAGGCTGTGCTTATTCAGACTTGGGCATAGGACAGATAATTTCATTTTCATGAAGTAAGTTGTCACTTGGAGAAAAACAAATAGACAAACCCCCTTTCCAGTGATAAAAATGAATATTGAGTATGTTTTAGAATTGTGGGAAATTTGCATCTACCACTGTAAGCCTAACAGCTTTTAAATGCATAAAAGCTTTTTAATAATATAAATTAGTAGATTTTTTAATGATAAAATTTGCCAAAATCTACATAACTTTATGTTCTAGATTTTCCCCAAATTCACAATGTGTATGTTAACATAGAGGCATTCTGTCTGAGATGAAGCAGTGAAATTTAAGTTCAGAGATTTATTGTGGGATTTGGTTTGGCTTGCTTTGGTTTTTGTGAGATAAGGTCTCATTGTATCCCTGGATAGCACACCACCCATGTGCTAAGATTACAGGTCTTCATCATCACAACCAACTCACAGGTTTAAATGTTTGTTTTGTTCAACTGATAAGACTTAAGAAAAAGTCAAAACAAAATCCAGTTTTTATTTTATTCTGTTTATTATGTATTTTAAAGGTGTCAGACCAAATTCAGGTTTGATTAATTTTATAACTTGACAAGTTTCTATAACGCGTAGAGGGGTATGAATTTGAGTATTGATGACCTTATTTTATTTAAGATCTATTTTCTTTTTAATTACATGTAATTGAAAATGTAGGGGGTACACATGAATGCATATGTCCAAGGAGGCAGTATGCATACCTCTGTAGCTATCGCTAACAGACAGTTATAAGCTGCCTGATATAGGTGCTGGGAATAGAACTCCGGTCTTCTAACAGAAGTAGAGTCTTAACAACTGAGCTGTCTCTTTAGCCCCTGATAACTTCATTTTAATCTCCATTTTTAATTAAGCTGATTCTTTAACGTAACTGGAAACAGTGGTGTATGGTGCTGGACGTTTATCTCAGTGATTGAGCCCTGCCTGGCATTAATGCAGCTCTGGGTTCCCAGCATTTATATCAGGTATATGTACAAACCTACACTCACTCACATATACACAACATTTATAAATACAGAATAAATTGTATTAACAGTAAGTTAAGTCGCAGCAGTAGTTGACATTTTTATTAAATATTACCATATTAAATAACAGCATAAATAAATCATAAAAATGTATTGGTTATTTTCAGAAAGAAATTCGTAGTTCCCTGGTTCTTTCAATGTTGCAACAGATGTTAATGGAAGATAAGGCAGATTTGGTAAGAGAAGCTGTCATCAAAAGCCTGGGCGTCATTATGGGCTACATTGATGATCCTGACAAATATCAACAGGTATGTTTTTCAGCATGAACTTCTTTTACCCTGTTATAAAATGCAAATAACGTACTGATTCAGGTAGTTGACAGGTAGTTGCAGGTGAGATGCTGTGTCAGTGTGGTTAGCAGGAATGATGGCTGCTTTCAGACCAGCAACTGTGAGGAAGTTGGAAATGAGTGTGCATGTTTTCCACACCGTCTCTGCTCATCCATGGATACAGTAACACTTAAGTAAATGGAAAGGATTTGTAGATGAGTGTCTTCCTTAAAATGTTTTCTGAATTTCTTAAAATGCACATTTGTTGCGTTTTATTACATTTTTTTGGAAATTTACTTTTTTAACAATCTCCATTTGCCTGTTTCTCTTTTGCAGGGCTTTGAATTACTGCTTTCCGCCCTGGGTGACCCCTCAGAAAGAGTTGTTAGTGCAACACACCAAGTATTTTTACCAGCTTATGCTGCCTGGACAACTGAACTTGGGAATTTACAGTCTCATCTTATACCTACACTACTGAACAAGATTGAAAAGCTTCTTAGAGTGAGTTCTTCCTTTTTAGATGGTTCATAAATTGAAAGGATCTGTTCTAGAGACCTTTCTAGAGAAATATGGGGCCAGAGACAAGATGTACCACTTAGCCAAATAGTGTAACACATCACCACTGAAGAGAGATGAGGAGCTAGAAGAGAAGGTACATTGGGCGCTGTTAGCTGGAATAACACCTTCCTGGAAATAGCAGACATTGTTCAGAGTGCCTGTCCCTCCCTGATCCTATGAAGACATGACTGTTTTACATAAAACATCAGCTCTAGTTCCAGATTGCAGAGATGACTAGATGCTGAGTCTCTGTAGTCTCTTATTTCTATGTCAGAACTACTTTAACTATGCTTATTCGAGCAGAGACATCTTAGAGAGGACTTCATTCTCCTCAGAAGAGTAGGTGAAAAGTTGAGAAAATAACCGATACTTCTTTTTCTAATTTTTCTTCTACATGTTCTTTGAGAGGCTAGCAGAGAAGCTGGTGTTTCATGGGTGCCTACATATACTGCTAAGGTCAATACATTACATTTAAAAACCCACTTCACCCTTAGAACCTTTTGAGGGGTGTTTTGTGTTTTACAGGGAAACTAGGGTTTGGTGCTTAAGTAACTTGTCAGGGTCCCCAGCTGTCATACAGATTGGTTTCTGACTCCAGACTCTTTGAAGTGTTTGCATTCTTTCTATCTGATTGATAATTAACCAGGCCTTGTTTTTTATGTGTGTACCTTGCTATGGTTTAAGTAATACCACATTGCTTCTAAATGTCTCCAGTGTCCTTCTTAGCTAGTAATAATTTCTGTTAAGAAAAAAATAAACTGACATGTCAGGTAGATCTAAATGCAATAACTGCTTTTATCTCCAATAGTTGTTAGTATTTTGGTTTGGGTTTTTTGGTTTGTTTGTTGTTGTTTTTTGTTTTTTTCTCACTATAACGTTTGGCTTCTGGGTGCCATGTTAATCCTGTTTCTGTCATCTTTCTGTGGAAGCGATTACTTGCGAATACAGATGGTACCAGGTACCTGAAAGCATTTAGGAAGTAGAGAAAAAGCAAATGATTCTACAGGATTAGCAGTGTTAAACTTACTGTGACTCACTAGTGTATAAGAATTTCAGAAGATAAAAAAACACTCTCCAGAAAAACTGTGTCCAGCACTGGAAATGGCTGTTCCCAATGTTTCATATTAAAGATTATGGCATGTCTACAAGTGCCTTCTTGCTTCTCAACAGTTTAGATGGACATCTCTGCTAAGTACATGTTTCAGGTCTAACATAGAGGTCCTTAAATGTTTATTTGCCTTAGAAAGGGAAGCTGTCATGTATCCAACTTGCAATGTGATTTCAAAAGCCTAAGGTTAGCTCCCACCCCCTTTTGTTTCAGGAAGGAGAGCACGGGCTGGACGAACACAAGCTCCACATGTATCTCTCTGCCTTGCAGTCCTTGATCCCATCTCTCTTTGCATTAGTGCTCCAGAATGCACCTTTCTCCAGCAAAGCCAAGCTGCACGGTGAAGTGCCCCAGATTGAAGGTACTGGACTCAGCTCTTGACGGAAGCTGTGGAATATTGGCAGTTCAGCCTCCCAAAGAGGCTTTTTGATTCTAACCATTATATGGCAGCACAGTTACTAAAATGTATTATATGTATAATGTATAGACTCTTGTGTTCAGAGATTAGTAAAGACTCAGATAAACTTTATAGTTTCCTCTTTTATGAATAAGCCATGTGAGATTATTCTGTAATAGTCTTTGCTTTTACCCATTGAGTGGGTGGGTGGGTTTTGCTTGTTTGTTGGTTTTATGGGAAGTTTTGTGTTTTGTTGAGGCAGGGTCTCACACTAGCGAAGGCTGGCAGTTTCTGTAAGGAAGCTGGAATAGACATTTCTGTCTCAGATCTGAATCATTGAAAAGACTCACTTAATAGTTAATTGTGTGTGAAGTTTGTCATTTCTTTATTTTTTTCTTCCCTAGCTGTTTTGTTTTCAATAGAGTAAGATAAATATAATTGTAGCTTTTAATAATAAATATAATTTCCTGCTGTGTTTGTAGTAGAAAGAAACAAGTGTGTGGTATGATTTTTCTCTCCTCCTCCCCCATAGAAAGAAAGTGACTTATCTTCAGAAACACGTGAAGTCAAGCTGGGAATACAGTTGATTGACAGAATGCTTACCTAACACATGAGCAGGGGTACTAGGCTCAATCCCCAGGACTGGGGTTGGGGAGAAAGAAAAAAATACATGAAGTCACTTTCCCAGTAGAAAATAAATGATCTTTGATGTGTAAGAGGTGGTTGACAGCCATAATGCTCCTAAGCAGTACACCTAGGCAAAGGCTGTACACAGGCTTTTCCTGTGTATGAAATATCTTTGTAGCATTTTCAGGTTTGTGAAGTTATCTGTGTCTCTTACTGGCTTCTGATAAAGAATTATTGTATTGATAATTAAAAAAAAACATTCATAAGCTAAAGACTTGGAAGATGAGACTCCGTAAGAATGTATAACTAGTTACTCTGTGATTCTACCACCCACTAAAGTACTTCTTATTTTCAATCCCTCTTCCTCTTCCTGGTTGGCTGTGGTAGTTTGCTGAAGTTGTCTTAACAAAGTACCACAGGCTAGCTGTCTTAACAGCAGAAATATGCCATCTCATAGCTAGAGGGCAGAAGTGTAACAAGAAGAAGGACTTTCAGAGAACTGAGAGGAAGCTGGCCTGTTCCTTAACTTCTGCTGGTTTATGGGCCTTCTTTGGTGCTCCTTGGCTTGCAGATGCATCTGACTCTGTCGTTCCCTTCACATTGCATGCTCTCTGTAGACTTTTCTAGTGAGGACATCAGTCATATTAGATAGGAGCCTCCCCACCCCACCTTCTAGATGATCTCACTTTATCTGAACACACCTATTTCCAAACAGAAGACTTGAGAGAAGAAACTAGTTCAGCCTATGATACGTATTGTTGTTTCTTCATGTTTTTAACAAATACTCCTTGAATGCCAACTGCTGCCGTCCACTTATTTCTTTGCCATCCTGAACATGCTCCTTACTTAATGTAACTACTACTTGTGATTGTCTTCATTACACCAAATAACAGTCTTGTTTTTAGTTGCTGTTGCTATAACTCTTTGGCTTGGTGGTGGTGGTGGTGGTGGTGGTGGTGGTGGTGGTGGTGGTGGTGGGTGGTGGTGGTAATGGTGGTGGTGGTGGTGGTGGAGGTGGTGGTGGTGGTGGAGGTGGTGGTGGTGGTGGTGGTGGTGGTGGTGGTGGTGGTGGTGGTGGTGGAGGTGGAGGTGGTGGTGGTGGTGGTGGTGGTGGTGGTGGTGGTGGTGGTGGTGGAGGTGGTGGTGGTGGTGGGTGGTGGTGGTGGTGGTGGTGGTGGTGGTGGTAATAGGTCTATTAGAAAGGATGACACAAGGTTTTTTTGTTGCCAGTTATTTTATTATGTATATATACATATATATACATGTATGTATGTATGTATGTATATATGTATATACACATTAACCGAAGTTTATGTCAGGCACTTTTGTTTCAGGCATTAGAGGTATGCTGGTGAATAAGATAGCATTCTCTGACATTTTAGAACTAACCTCCAGCGATTCCTAGTAGCTGTTATTCTGGAGAATTACTGTGCACATTTCATTGCTCATAAGATTCTATTTTTTAATGTTTTACCATCTTATTAAAATGTTATTCTGGGAACTTTTATGTAATATTGTATGATAGACTTCAGGTTTTTAAAACTATTGTTAAGTAGAAAAATATTTTGAGGCTCTTGAGACATTCTTTTGTTGTTGTTTTTGTTTTTTGAAACAAGGTCTCTCTGTAGCCTTGGCTGTCTGAAATGTGCTCTGTAGATCCACCAGCCTCTGCCTTCCATGTGCTGGGATTAAAGGCACGTGCTACCATACCCACCTAGACATTCTTATTTCTTCTCTATAGCTTAATTATCCACATAATAACCTATTTCCCATCATTTTTTTCTGTTCGACTTCGATTTTAAAATGCCTTTAGTCCCATCCCTTATATAGTCAGTCTCAATCCATCTGTTTTAATTGTAATTACTGTTTTCCAATCATAGATTAATAATTTTGAAATATAAGAATTCCATCATATGTAGCAGATTGTGCCCAGTATGACAGAACCCTGGTTGAAATTATGTCATATATGCTTCGATGTGATGTAGAAGTTTAAACCCAAATACCTCTAATCATTCCAGATCTTCTATTTCTGAGCAAGGCTAGTAAGAATTCAAGCAGAAATCTAAGTTGTGAGTGATAACCATGTCACCCTCGTTTCTATCTCTGGGTACAAATAGGAGCGTTCAGATAGCAGCCATGACCATTCTCTACATTTAATATATTGTTGAATGCCTGTTGCAGCACAGGAGTATGATAATGTCTTATTTTTACATTTTTAAAGTTAGGTACTATTTCAAATTTTCTGAAGCATAATATCATTAAATATATTTTCAGCAAATACTGAACCCTTCTGTTATCTTTTGGGTGTGATTACTACTATCTGGAAATTTATATCCTACAGTTAATGAACTTACTGTCATACATTATTCACTTAATAGTCATGTAAGTATTCCACAATACCGTGAAAGCCTGGACTCTCAAGATGGCTCCATAGATAAAGGTGCATGTCACCAAGCCCAACAACCTGATTTGAATCTCTAGTACCCACATGGTGGAAAGAGAACTTGCTCCTGTGAGCTGTCCTCTTACCACCATGAATATCATATCACATGTGTACCACCCCCCCAAACACACCCGGGCAAAATTAAAATGTCATTTAGAAAAGAAATTTGAGCCGGGTGTAGTGGTGCAAGCCTTTAATCCCAGCACTTGAGAGGCAGAGGCCTGCAGACCTTTGTTAGTTCAAAGCTAGCCTGGTCTACAATGCAAGTTCTAGGACAACCAGGGCTACAAAGAGAAACCCTATCTCAAAAATCAAAAAAGAAAAAAAAAAAAGAAATCTGATTGTGAGTCATAGGATTATAGACTTTATTAATATGATTAAGCTTTTTAAACATACTAGTATACCCATGTATGTGTTATATTTTAGTTACACAATTTAAAAGTGAGTTTTTTTCATTTTCCCTTCAGATTTTGTTAAAGTTTTGAATGTGGGACCTTGGTTACGGTATCTGTATAGATTGTGCTTTAATACTTTACATTAACTTAAACAGACTGAAATTTTTAAATAAAGCATTTAATGTTAAACATTAACTACTAAAGAAGTTTATTCAGCTGAGGCTTGAATATTTTACGTCATTATTCTATCCTATGAAACAGTATTTTCCCTGCTTTTAACTTTAGTCTCTGAAGGATATCTTTTATTATATTGATTGGCATAAACAGTATAATGGAATTACATATTTTTGTTATTTAATTAAAATTAAATTTTTAACTAAATCCATGCTTTTTACTGGAGTCTTATCTTCAAACCAATTTTAATTTAAACTATATTAGTTTAGTTTTCACTAATAAGCATTCATTAAATTATTTATTAAGTGTGGGTGTCTCAGATCTCCTAAATGTTTGAAATTTAAAGTTTATAACAAGTTAATTAAATATCAGAGCCTTATTTGGCTTTGGATAGAATAACTAAGTGCTCAGACTTATTTTTTTCCTATGTGATTTATTTGTTATTTACAGTGACCAGGTTCCCCCGGCCTATGTCACCTCTGCAAGATGTCTCTACTATTATTGGAAGTCGTGAGCAATTGGCAGTGCTTCTACAACTTTACGATTACCAACTAGAACATGAGGGCACAACAGGCTGGGAGAGTTTGCTGTGGGTTGTCAATCAATTGTAAGTTACCACCTCCATATCCATTTTATATACCTAAATTAGATCAATGAAAAATTGCTCATATTTAGACTTGAGACAGAGGGAAAGTTTATAAAATAGATTTAATTTGTTTAAGAAACTTAAATTGGCATCTTCAAAAGCAAAACTTGAAAGGTGATTTATGCCCACTGTGTATGTAACATTCTATGAAGAAGTTCATCATTATTATGTCAGGACTGATTTACTGCCTTGAGTGGTAGTTACAGTAGACTTTAAACTACATCCTAATTTAATAGCTTTGAGTCTAGAATGGATGCTTTATTAAACCAAGGTTTGTGATGTATCAAATCCATGATTTTGAATCCCATTAACTTCACATGCAGTAAACTTTGAAGAGTTGATCTAGTAGAGTTCATTAATGTCATTTCAAAGGATCCAAAACCCATCCTTTGCTTACAGAGAGCATAAGGAAGGTTTTCAGATCTGCAGTATTGCAAGAAGTAGCCCAGAGACAGTCATTTACTTGTCCCCATGCTGTTTTTCTCTCCTTTCATGCTCAGGTTGCCACAGCTTATCGAAATAGTGGGCAAAATTAATGTAACCTCAACAGCCTGTGTCCATGAATTCTCCAGATTTTTCTGGCGCCTTTGCCGGACATTTGGCAAAATTTTTACAAACACTAAGGTAAATATTAGTATTCCATCTTTACTTATGTTCAAGAGACAGAATTGTAATATAATAATGCTTTACTAAAGTAAATAATAACATGAGCCTCCCTTTATCTTCTAGCATCTTTAATGTCTTAGAATGCTGTTAATTAGTTACATTTAATAGTATGTTTAGTCTCAGCTTATGGTGTACTAAGATTTTATTATGAGATCTGCCACAGTAGGTCTGTCAAAGGCTTTTACCATAGGCATATCATCTGTGGAAAGCAACCCTATTCTTTGAATAATTATCAAGTTTGTTTTTTTGTTTGTTTGTTTGTTTTTTGGGGGGTTTTTTGCCATATACTCCAGATTTTGGAAGTGTTGGTGTGCTTAGCACTTGGTAAAAGTCTAAGATGATGAGCCACAGCAGCCTGTAAAATTTGCTCCAAGGATACTGAGTCTCAGAAACAGCATGAACACTCAAATCTGTGTCTCAGTCAGTACCACAATGTGATCTGTCACGGTGGCGTACACTGCTGATTGTTTTAGGTGTTAAAATTTGAGGACACGTACATCCAATTCTTCATCAGTTCTGTTAATCCATTTTTCTTCAGCTTATTGTTTGGCTAGTTGCTTAGAGAACTGATTTTAAAAGGTGGCTGCTATGATCAGGTTTTCATCAAGATACTCAGATAGTAAACATCCTAAGCTTCTGCTCCTTCCTACTAAATCTGTGTTATTGAAACATTTGAAGCAGAAACGTAGTCTGCAATAAACTCATCGAAATTCAGACTTCCTTTCTAGTATGTTGGCTGCTAAGGTGCGTGACCTTTAATAAGTAACCTGTTATTAGTGTTTTGTGAAATGAAGACATTTAGTCTTAGTTGTGTGATTCTACAGCTTCATCTTTTCACAATGTTCTCCCTCTCGGTCTGCATTAAATGTGCAAGTCAATATGACTGAGATGCTGACAAGAAAGCAAAATCTATTTACCTCTTCACCAGTCTGATACCATTATCAGCAGGAATTGCTCAACAGTTCCTAAATAAATAGCTGGTATTGTTTAGAAAAACAAGTAGGAGTCACTTGAGCATTGAACACTGTAGAGTTGTCTTCAGTGGTTTGAAATCTCTGATAATTCCAATTTAAAAACAAAAACAAAAAACTGAAATGAGCATTTGCTCTAACTTAAGATGCCAAAGTAAAATTCCTTATTTGAAGTTCAAATTTAAAAGAATTGATAATGGATTGTGATGAGTTTCACATTTTGAATATGCTAGCCATGAAAATCCTAAATGAGTGGAATTTCCTCATTCCCTTCAAATATATATAGCCAGATCCTTTAACCAATACTTCTAATCATATGTGGTGATATAGTGTTTAATCATGTAATAATATGCAAGTGAACTTTTTGATAACTAAATTTAGTTTTTAGCAGTAATTTTAAGTATTAAATTCATCTTGGAAATTATTTTAAGGAAAGGTACCAAAGACTATTCTGAAAATACTTATTGACCTGACTAGATTTTTATTTATCCTTAAAGGTCCTGCTTCTAGTCCCTTTATTCTTCCTTTATCTTGAGCCTGTTAATTAAACATAATATATTTCTGACCATTTCACTAGTCTATAAAGCAAAATAAATAGTTGTATCGATAATTAATATATATTTTACCACTGATTAATCCATGGATCTTTTCTTTGCATTGCTTAGGTAAAACCCCAATTCCAGGAGATTTTAAGACTTTCTGAAGAAAACATTGGTAAGTATGTCTATTATTACTTTAAAAAACAGTTGAACTTTTATATTCATGAAAAATATTATATTTGTTATCTGAAAATTATATAAACTAAGAAGAGTAATTGAGAAGAAAAGTGTATGTCATGGAGTTCTTAGTATTCCCACAAGCCATGTCAGTTGGCTTCCATGGGGTGAATTCATCCTTCCTCACTCTGATTGTAAATAACTACCTTAATTGTGACCAAACTGACCTAAGGTCAAGCTTCTCCAACCAGCTTTCACCCTTAGAGTGTGTTGTGGTATGCTCAAAGTACTTCAGCTTACAAAAGAAGCAACATTAAAATAACAGTGGAAAGCAATGAAGGGTATGCAAGTTTTTTAAATGAAACAGAAAATTTAAAGAAACTGTAGGTCCTGTGTGAATAGATTTTGCATTGATCATTTTTCACCATCTGTCTTAGACAGAGCAGGTACAGCATCACTCTAGGCCAGCTTCACTGGCCTAAGAAAATGACTATGTATACCTCTTGTAACCCTGTCTATTTTTTTTATTTCTAAGAATAAATAATAGAAAATATTAAATGGAATATATAGCAACTTCCACTTGATTGATCTTGAATGCATAGGTAATTCTTTACTTAAGATGTGATTTAGTGTCTGGAAAACTACATTCCTGGTGTCCTTAGCAATAGTTAGAGAATGAGTAAATGAATTAAGTTTGAAAACATCAGCACAAAAGTTACTTTTAATAGTTTTTTCAAGAGTTGGTTTTTGCCTAATTGTTGATGTTTTTATGTTTGAGGTATGTACTAATTCTAATGATAAATTAGTGAAGAAAAAATTAAGTTATTGAGAACTGACAGCTTTTAAAATCAAGTTAGCTGTGAATATTTAATTGTTCAGAAAGGAAATGATTACTTAGCCCCATTTTTATAGTTGTATCTCTAAATACCACTTGTTCCAGCCACAGATTTAATTCTCTACTACTATTGTTGTGTTAGCCAACATCAATATTCCTCCCAAGAAAAGTTTACTTTTACCAGCAAAATAAACTTTAAATGCTAGCTAATGTGAAACCAGTTTTGTTGTTGAAATTATGTCTAATTGTTAAATGTATTAAAAATTCATTTTCTTTGTGTTCAGCACTGAATGTAAACTAACTTTATATAAAAGTGTCAGTACAGCCGGGCGGTGGTGGCGCACGCCTTTAATCCCAGCACTCGGGAGGCAGAGCCAGACGGATCTCTGTGAGTTTAAGGCCAGCCTGGGCTACCAAGTGAGTTCCAGGAGAGGCGCAAAGCTACACAGAGAAACCCTGTCTCGAAAAACCAAAAAAAAAAAAAAAAAAAAAAAAAAAAAAGTGTCAGTACAATAACAACAACAACAAAAAAAAAACACCACTTAAGAACATAGAAAAAACCACTTAAAACTGTGTAATGATCAGTAAATGAACTATTGGTACTATAAATAATTTGCCTCATTATCATCTGTAGAATTTTTCTTTGTAAGTCTTACATTATCTTAGTATTTGTAGATGAAGACTCTTAGACAGTAGTCACAGGTCACACAGTCATGGATTCTCTTGCCATTCTTCCCATTTGTGTAGCCTGATCCCTCCTCCTCCATGAACATTATCAGGGCACTGTCTGCATGAAAACCTACAGTAGAAGCCCTGAGCCAAAGCAGGTTAACTAATGTGTATCTGCGTGCTACTTAAGACCTGGCTATGGAGATGCTTCAGAGACTCTTAAAGAAAGCTTTTGGGTTTTTTCATTCTAGAAATAGGAGTCTAAGATCCCAGGTTGATTATTAAATTCCTTTCTCATCTATCAGAAGTGTGTGTTCTAATGCCACTTCAGAACTAACTGTTAAGTTGTTATTAAGTTGTGCCTTCACCAAAGTGCTTCACAAAACAATCTCATAAATAGTTGTACTTTTAAATGCAATTCTGTTTTTCACTTTTGCCTTTATACTTAAAGTATACTAGAACTTTTAAAAATATTTTAATAATTTTAGATTCCTCATCAGGAAATGGGGTCCTCACTAAAGCTACAGTCCCCATTTATGCCACAGGAGTCCTCACATGTTACATTCAGGTAAGAGAGCAAGTCTTCCTCTCCAGGAAAGGTACCTTCTCCTTAGAAAATACTTGATGTTTGTTTGTTGTGGTCAGACCCAAAAGAAAAGCAAAAAGAGAAGTTTTACTCATTTTTCAAATGAGGAGCATATTTGAATAAATCTCCAAGTAAAGTACCAATTTAACAAATTAATTTAACATTAGATTACATTTACTTAGCAGAATTTCTTTGTGTTTCATGACGTTTTCCATGTATTGTATAAATGCAATAGAAAAATTAAAAATGCAGTAGAAACTATATTGTTTTTACCGAAGTACCCTTTGGTAATACTTTGTTTTTCTTAATTATTGCTATATATTAAACTATCCCAAGACATAGTTATAAACCATTTTATTTGCTTATGATTCTGTAATCGGGACACAGCTCATCTGGCTGGTCTTGCTATGGTCACTCATGTTGCATAAGCTATTATGTTGGTGGAGCTTTGACAAGAGTGACTGAGCTCTACCACCCGTGTGACAGGACCTCTGTCCATCTCCCATCATCTGACCTGATGATTCAAAACGTCAATGAATATGAAAGCAGAGTGTACTAGAGTAAGAGTTAGTCCTAGAATCAGTACAGTATTATTTCTGCTGTAGTGTAAATAAGGCATAAGTCTAGCACAGACTCAGGAAAAGTGAATTAAACTAGGGTAGATGTCAGGAGGTGTGTGGTCCTTAGGAACAAACAGCCACATTCTTCTCACTGTACTTTAAATAAATAGCATGATCCACATTAAGGCACATTAGAAAGTGGAGCATATGAAGGAAGAAGCATGCTTTTACGGATGATTTTCTGAGTTTTCATCCATGGATTCCTAGTTTCTTTGACCCTTGAATTCTAAGAGCTTCACTTGATATTTATTGCATCTTTCTTCTAAGCACATTCAAATGGTATCACAGCATTAAAACTCACTGCTGTACCCTGAATACTAGCTGTCTGAGTTCTGTTTCTGTTAAAAGTAGCACAATATTCCTTAAAGCTTTTCTAAGTGAATTTCTGTGATGTCATAACACAGACATTTAGTTTCAATGTGGGATATTTTCAGACATATAGCATTGACAGTCTCTAGTAGTCTTAAAGTTAGAGATGAATTATGTTAAGTCCAAATATTACTATAAACTATAAAGTAGTGTGATACTGTTCTCTTCTCCATTGGATTTGGAAGTTGCATCAGCATGGTATCAAATCTGATATCAATCTTTTCTCTCTTTTTAACTTCACAGTTTTGATAGTGGTTTGCTTAACTATCATTTTAAAGCATGATAAATTACCAGATACAAGATATGGCATATAATAGGACCTCAAAACAGACTTATGATGTTATGAATAAAAACTTATCTCTGGAATGACTCTGAAATCCAAACATATCTTTATTTCTAAAATGATAAGAGTTTTCCCATCACAGAACATTTATTAAATTGAGGCAGTAATCAGAGATTGCCCAGATTGCTCATTTCAGAAAGCACAGACAGTTAATGGTTCTCCTTGCTAAGTACTATTTGTGTTAGGATAAGCCACAGCCTATAGTTTTATTAGGAAACAAAGACTATCTCAAGGCCTAGGCTAAAGCACTTGCCCACCATGTACTTTCCCCTCAGCACTTGCCCCTCTGTTTGATCCCCAGCATCTCACACACACACACACACACAATTTGTGACCTACATATATAAAGCAGTTTTATTTGATTTGATATTCAAAATGGGAAATAATTAGAGTTAACTTTAAAAGTTCAAAAGAATCCCTGCTCATTTAGAAATCTATTTTTAGCTCTTATTTCACTGAATTCTTTTAGACTTGCAGTTTGTTTTCCAGTTATATTTACTGTTTAATTATAGTAGGTATCCTGGTTAGTTTCTCTTAGTTACTTTCTTTTGTTGTGATAAAGGCCATGACCAAAAGCAGCGTGGGGAGGGAAGGGTTTGTCTGGTTTACATGCTCCAGTCACAGTCCATCTTTGAGGGAAACCAAGACAGGAACTGAAGCAGAGGCCTGCTTACAGGCCTGCTCTCCATGGCCTGCTCAGCCTTATGCAACCCAGGACCACCTGCCTAGGGATGGCCCTGCCCACCCTAGACTGGACTCCATGGCCTGCTCAGCCTTATGCAACCCAGGACCACCTGCCTAGGGATGGCCCTGCCCACCCTAGACTGGACCCTTCTCGTGAATCATTAATTAAGAAATGTGGTAGAGATAGTTTTATCAATTGAGGTTCCCTCTTCCCAGATGACTCTAGCTTGTGTCAAGGAGACAAAAACAAACAAAAAACTAACCAGCACAGTGGATAACTTTAAAAAAAAAAAAAAAAAAGGTGGTGGGGGATAAAGTTCCCTTCTGACCTTGGTCTGACATAATCCAGTCTGCCTTCTGGACCTTTGAGTGTGTCCAGAAGCTATTTGTCCTTGACTTTTATCCTTTTTGACAATTTGATCTTAACTTATATGTTTATTTCCTCGGAAAATATCAGATTTCTTTCCCTTATGCACTCAGATTAGTTAAACATGCAAAATTTTTAGCACTAATCTAACAGGTTTGTCTATTTCTTAATAAAAATTATGAAATTAGTAATGATTCCTTGAATAAGGCTTAAAAACATTAGTAATTTATTCTTAAACACAAACTTGAACTGTTTTCAGAACACTGCTCTGTTTCAGCAGCTAGAGGTTTTACCACTGAATATTACAAATATAATTCTTAGAACTCAACCTTTGTTATTAGAAAGGTAACTGTTTGGGTGGTCTGTTTTTCACTGTGTATAGCCACCATTCATGGAAACTAAGACTGATAATGTCATTTTTGTAAAATATTATACCTTAAATCAGGACCAACTAATGAAACTTTTTGTAGTAGTGTGAATAATTTATATATCAGAGTCATCTAATACTGAGGATACTAATTATCCCCAGCGTTTAAAGCAGTTAAATCTTTAATTTATAGTTAGTGTGACTAAAAAACTGGATTTTCTATGCTAATAATTTTTTCATTTAAATTTGAAAATAAATGATCTTGTGACTAGTGGCTACTATATTAGACAGCAAGATCTAAATCAAATAATGATATAGTCTTTGACCTCATAGTATTGTGATCATGGATATGTTTAATAAATAATATCTTCAACTAAAATAGTTTTTGAGGTGGGATCTGTTCCCCTCTTGTGGTAATACTTTGTAAGTAAAGATAGGTAATAATGGCATTTAGTTCTACTTAACTGTTTGGGAATTGATTATCAATATTTTTCCTCTGTAGGAAGAGGACCGAAAGCTGCTAGTTGGCTTCTTAGAAGACGTAATGACGCTGCTTTCTCTGTCTCATGCGCCTCTCGACAGCCTGAAGGCTTCCTTTGTGGAACTTGGGTAAAAAACAAAATAGCTTACAGGTTTTTTGTTGTTGTAAAGACATAGCAAAGAAAAAAAAAACGTATGATTCTGGAAACTAAGACCAAACAATGATGGGAAGCTCCGGAATGATGGCCGTGGGAAGTCCCACTCTAGGAGTTAAAAGCAGATGAAAGGAGCACCCATCCAGACTGAAGCAGGGCAGGGTTTCCAGAAGGGGAGGAAAGAGCTAGCACATGCTTCAACAGCTAGAGAAGAAAGTACCGTGAGGTACACGGGTTTTTGTAAGGTGTGTGTAGTTTTCCAGATGGATTTATTAAATGAATGATATTTTAAACCTTTAAATTTAAATACAACCATTGTTTTAAGAGTTAAGATTTTACATTTTGAGTTGGTTTTGGTTTTGCTTGTTTGAGTATTCTTAACTATTTTGTAGTTAATGTGATTCTTTTAATGAGAAAGGGTACGCACTAATGCTTTCTTTGAAGCTAGTAGAAAAATATAATCAATGCAGATTTTAAGAAATGGTTTCCCAGAAGTGAAAAGGAACCTCGATTGAAAGCTAGTATCATGGACTCCTTATTCAGTTCTCTGTGACATGCTTATCCTGCTTTAATCAAAAGTTATGGTTACTGAAGTACATATATCTCAGTCACTCCCTTTGTAGCACTAGAAATTAAATCTGGATTCTTATATGTGCCAGACAAATGCTCTCCCACTGAGCTATAACCCCAGCCTCTTTAAATTTTAATTTTTTTTTTCGTTTGTTAAAACAGAGTCTCACTTTGTTACCACAGCAGGCCTTGAGCTCATTCTATAGCTCAGGCTGCCCTTGAACTGGTAATTCTCCTACCTACCCTCCTGAGCAGCTGAGATACAGGCCTGAGCCACTCACTAGGAGACACATTTATTAATCACATCTTCCATTAAGATTAGCTTCACTCTACAACCACATGACAAAACAGGCTTACTGCTTACCCAGTTTCTATAGACCTGAGCAACATTGTGCAGACTGGCCTGCAGTTGGCAATCCTTTGACTTTCACATCCTGTGTTCTGTGTATAGGGATGTGCCACTATTCCTCTTTTTATTTGTGATTTTAGTTTCCGTGCTATTAAATAGTTGAGAATTTCTGTCACAATTACAGATGCTTGGAGGAGTGTAATTCTGAATATGGTTTACACTTATATAAAGTGACTTCTGTGGGATCTTAGCTGTGATATAGTAAACTTACGTTTCATTTATATGTCCTACCAGTGTTTTATCATTAATATGTGTATATGTAATAAATGTCTACAAACATAGATAGTGATTTTCAATGCAACAGTTAAGCATGTGGCTTTCATCTTAACATTGTCATTTTTCCTGCAGTGCAAATCCTGCCTATCATGAGCTGTTGCTGACTGTTTTGTGGTATGGTGTTGTCCATACTTCCGCACTTGTCAGGTGTACTGCTGCTAGGATGTTTGAGGTATGTTACCATTCACTTCTCTTGGTTCTACCGGTGATTGCCAGTTTTAAATGTCATGTATATGTGTGCACATATATATTTATTCATTTATGACATTGAATGCTGTCTAGTTGTGTACTGTGTGATGGGGCAGAACTTTAGCTTTGGCAAATTGAGGAATGTTTTCTAGCCGTATTGGTTCTTTAAATGTTATTTTCAGTTTCATTTCTCTTTTAGACCTTATTTAAATTCCATCCTATTTAACCTTTCTGGTTGTCCTTTACTATTTACCGAGGTAAATGACTACTCAAGCTAAAACGGCGTAGGGTGTTGCTTAAGTTGTAGTACTCTTTAATAGTATCAAAATACAGTTATTTGCAATTATAATATTCCTTCACATATCATATCTGTAATAGGACCCCTAGTCATTAACTGCCTATAGGTTTACAAGGCAGAAAATAGTTCTATAATGTACCTAGATTTTATTAACTTGCTATCTTCCCAAATAATAACTGAAAGTACCTGAAAGTTTACCCATCAGGTAGCAAGCATGTAGTCATATGTACTTATTTTTAGAACTTGAAGGCCTCAGTTGGTTTAGTGTTGAAGCTGTTGAGTCTTACCATAGAGTCAAGCTGCCTGGGTTCAAGTTTCCATCTCTTCCACCAACTTTGTTAATTACTTGGACAGATTTGAACTTCTGTACATTAGTTTCCTCATCTACAAAATGAAGATAATGATTTAAAAAAAAAAGAGAGAGTCCTATTTGAATGAATTTGTTAATATTCAGTGAGTTAGTTCTGTAAAGCCCTGAACATGGTGTTGAACGTATGAGCTGTAATAAATGTCAGTTGTCATGTCACTGTTTTTCTAATTTGTGCTATTACTTCACAAAATAATAAAACTGCGTACAGAACATATATTTGTCCCTTCATGCCTGGGATTCCTTTTTTTTATTTTAATTTTTAAAAGTTATTTTTCACACAATATACTTGAGTAATATTCTTTCCTCTTTCCCAGCTCCTTCCAGATCCTCCTTACCTCCTTCCTGACCAACTTCATGTTATTTCTGTCTCTCTCAAAAAGAATTTTTTTTAAAAGCCAGCAAAAATGAAAATTTAAAACAAGCTTTAAAAAAAAAAGGAAAGAAAATCAATAAGACGAGAAAAATACCAAAACAAAACAGAACAAAGCAAAAAGTGCTCAAAAAGCAGCACAAGATTCTGTTTTGTGTTGACCAATTACTCCTGGACATGAGGTCTGCTCATGGTTGATATATGCCTACTGACACTCCATTGGAGAAAACTGATTTTTCCTCTCCCGGCCAGGTATCAGCTGCAAACATCTTCTTGGCTGGGGGGTAGAACTTCAAATATTTTTGAGAAGAATTAATTCAATCTTCCTGAATTTAAGAATTTCTCTACAATTTAAGATAAATTACAATTGGAAGAATAGAATACTTCATATATTTAAAATACTCGCCTTCCATAATTTTCTACAATTTATATATGTGTGTGTGTGTGTGTGTGTGTGTGTGTGTGTGTGTGTGTGTGTGTATACTCTATGTGAATGGAAACATTTCAGATAAAACGTAGCATGCCCCTTTTTCACATTTGGTTTTGTTTGTGCGTCTGCCTTGTTTCTGTATGTGACTTGGTTTCTGTGCTAGCTGTAGGTGCTTATTTGAACACTGTACCTGTGCCTACACAGTCATCAGTGTCCTTTCAGTTGACTATGACTTCTGAGTCTAGTTCGACAGTGATTTAGAAGATTTTTTTCAAGTTAATTATAAATTTAAGGAGTACTGGTGGACAGATGGATTAACATTGGACTATATTTTCTGTTATTTAGGGTATAATTCTACTGTCAGTGATCCTTATTTGGGGAAAACAATCTACCAAAAATTATGTTTGATTCATGAGATTTATATTAATGTTTTGTAATTTAGAATAATGCCTGCTTCCCTCAAAATGAGTAAATTGCAAATAAAAACAAGGGCATTTAAAATAACTTTTTCTTTTATAAAAGTAGTATTAGGGGATGTGATGAAGGTATGACTCAGTTATTAGAGTGCTTGCCTAGCTTGCCTAGGATTCTGTGTTCTTTCCCAGGACCACATAAGATGGGGGTGGTGGTGCAGAAGTCAGACAGGTGGATCAAAAGTATCCTCCAATGCATAGTGAGTTCAAGGCCAGCCAGGACTACCTGAGAGCATATCTCAAAAGTAAAACAGCAGAATAAAATGATTGAAGTGAGAAATTGATATACTAGGAACTTAATTTGAAATATTTTCTAGAATTTAACACAAATGTAGCTTCATTTTTAGATAACAGAACAAGGAGAAACTCAATGGGTTTATAGTGTTGCTGGTATTAAACAACAGACTGTGTCTTAACCTTTTGAAGTAAATAATGAATGAAAGTCTTTTATAGGTGGCGCTTAGTGACTTTCATGTTTCTAGAGTGACAGATTATAGGGAAGAACTTCACATAACTAGTATGTTAATCATGAGGTAATTGAACTGTACCATTGGACCATAACTCAAAGAAAACACAGACATCAATTAAGGCAGATAAGAATGAGTCAGTCCATTGTCTGGTTCTACTTTCAACTCAAAAACCCTGAACACATTCACTTCTTTTCTACAAGTCTCAGTTTCTTTATCTGCTAAAATTTTTATAATGTTTGTATTTGCCTCACCAGACATAAAAATCAAAGGATACAGTATGTAAAATGTCTGTTAATCGATAACTCTTAAAATTATTGACTAATTTTTTTAGATTTTTTTTTTTAATTACCTTAAGGATCCCAGAGCAGTGAGTGATTAACTTGTCCTCTAAATCACCCACTTTGAATAGACGCAAGATAGCAGACATCAAGTTAGGTTCAAACTTAAGCCATCTGATGATACAAAGAATTTGAACTCCTTCTCCTATTTCTTCCTACCTGAACACAGTAACATGAATATAATAATAAGATGTCTTTTGTCATTTTTCTCCTGCCTACTTATGTAGACATTTAATAAATTATCTCAGAATGCCAAAATCAATTCTGAAATGAATGTGTTGATAAATGGTAACAAATTATTGCAGAAATAAGTATCTTCACATAACGTCAGCTAAGCTTCTCATATTTTATAAGAAGAGTGTCAATGCATGCACAGTGGTGATTTTGATATAGAAAGTCCATGGGAACTCTGATCAGAGAACTACTAATGAACAGATTGATAAGGATTTAGTATAATGTATGCTTACATTCTGAAGCTGGGGGTGGGATGGTATTCTTTACAAAAACAAAATATATACTGTTACCCTCTTGTTTTACAAAATTATCATTGGTTGCTAACCAAAGTATTTTAATGACTGTTAAAGAAACAGATTGGTTCTGGTCATATTATATGTAAGCTTTAGAAAATTAGAAAGCAAAGACAATGTTCAGAGGTAAACTAACAAACTTTAATTAAATGATTTCTTTTTATAAAATTATTGAGTAGTCACAACTAAACTCATCTCTTGTATGCGTATTCTTTGTCATGTGCAGTATTTCTCTTGCTTGCCAATTAATAGTACACTCATTCTCTGAGTTAGGTGAGAAATTCAGCATTTTCAGATGAGCAAACTAGTTTATTCTGTAATTCATCTAAGGCTACATGGCTAATAGTGGGTGAGAGCTGGAATTTGAACCCAGAGCTGGTTTCCAGGTCTAACATTCCAAAATATTATGCTGCAGTATATGTGTTCCTTAGATGATAAGGCTGTGTGAAAAAAGGTTGGGAGTTTTACTATGTGAACTTTCATGTGCTCACTGTAGAACAGTCAGAAGCAGTTTTGTGATGGCTACAAGCCATTAAAGTTTGCTTTTTAAAAGGCCTATTTGTACTTCAGTGATCATAATAAAGTCATACCCAGTTGATTTGTAAGAATTGGAACTAGTTATATTGTTAATACAATATGTGTCTCTTTTTTAGATTTTTTTTTCTTTTTTTAAGAGCTGTACTGGTGCATACCTTTAATCCCAGCTCAAGGGAGGTAGAGGCGTGTGGATCTCTGTGAGTTTGAAGCCAGTATAATCTACATAGTGAGTTAGTACCAGCCAGAACTACAGATTGAGACCCTGTCTCAATAAAAGCAAAAAGAAAAAAGTAAATTTTTCCTTTCCATTACATTTTAATTGAAGATAGGAATTGAATGTGGTCTTTGACCTAAAGGACAAACTGCCATCCAATTGGTAACAAGCCTCTTTTTGTGGACTGCTAGGCAATGTGAGCTTTCTTTCCTCCTAAGCCTTCTCTGCCTTGGTAAGCACTCTAGTAGCAGTATTTGCTTAGCTTCTAATTTTGGTTTTGCTTTTGTGTTTTCTCTCTTTCTCTTGGTTGTTCCTTTCTTCTTCCCGTGGCACACTGTTTGCTTTCCATGCACCACCTGTGAATACCCCCTGTGCTGACCAACCAGCTGTTGGTGAAGGGGGTGAATGAGACTCTGGTAGCTCAGAGGGTTGTTCCTGCTCTCATTACTCTCTCCAGTGACCCTGAAATGTAAGTGTTGTCCCTGCCTTCTATGTCCAGCATTCCTTTCTAAATGTGCCTGTTGAGAAATAACCATCAAGCTGTTAACAGTCACTGAAGAATCACTTGAAAATAGTAATATTGGGTTATATGCTTATTTGATTTGAAACTTTATCACGTTGCTATTAGTACATTGTTGGGGTTGTTTTTTAAGTCAACCTCAAAATAAGTCTAATTTGGAGACCAAATAGTAGAGTAAAAAGTATTAGCATTAATAATCAATAAACACTTTCAAAACCAAAACAAGCTGATGGACTATTTCTTCCGAGCCAAGAAAGGATGCTCTGCTAATCTCACTAACAGGTTGTTGCCAGTGAGTGTAGTGGCATGAACCAGAGGCTTAACATTTTAATGTCTCATGTGGATGACTAAAGCAAGAAAGGCCAGTGAGTCTGCCTGCCCATCCTCAGTCACAGCTAACCCAGTTCTCATTCCAGTTTACCAAACCATTTTTTATTGCATGTTGACTGGTTTACAGCTGACTCTTCGAGGCATGAGTGAAGCATTAGTTGACAAGCGGGTTGCTCCGGCCCTTGTTACCTTGTCCGGTGATCCTGAATTGTGAGTTCACAGACTGTGACCCTGAGTTATCCTGCCTGTCTTATTGAGCATTCTTCTTGGTCTGCTCTTTAAAGTTTAACTGTCATTGCTAGAGACTAATGCGGGATTTCTACCTTATGCTTATTTTGATACATATGTTAATGATGATCCTGTTGTCTCTCAGGGAAGTCTCAATCTCCTTCCTTTTTGATTTCTAACAGCTCTGTTAGGATTGCTACAATCCCAGCGTTTGGCACTATTATGGAAACAGTTATTCAGAGAGAGGTAGGAATGGACATTTGTTTATTACTTCTGTGCTGGTGGTGATGACACAGTTCTGTTAGCATACCTGAAGTGGGGGTCAGAGAGCATTGTAACTTTTATGACATTTCTTAATTATTGATCAAAGGAAGATAATATCTAAAAGTACCATAACCTAAACTAATTGTTTAGTCTAAGAAACTGTTCCATTTATGTATTAGTCTTCTCAATTTAAAAATTGACTCTAGCCAGGTAGTGGTGGCCAGGCACTCCTTTAATCCCAGCACTCGAGAGGCAGAGGCAGGCAGATCTCTGTGAGTTCAAGGCCAGCCTGGTCTACAGAGCTAGTTCCAGGACAGCTAGGGCTGTTACACAGAGAAACTCTGTCTCAAAAAACCAAAAAAGAAAGGAAGGAAGGAAGGAAGGAAGGAAGGAAGGAAGGAAGAAAGGAAGGAAGAAATTGACTATAACAAGAAAGAAAGAAAGAAAGAAAGAAAGAAAGAAAGAAAGAAAGAAAGAAAGAAAGAAAGAAAGGCCTGGCGGTGGTGGCGCACGCCTTTAATCCCAGCACTCGGGAGGCAGAGCCAGGCGGATCTCTGTGAGTTCGAAGCCAGCCTGGGCTACCAAGTGAGTTCCAGGAAAGGCGCAAGGCTACACAGAGAAACCCTGTCTCGAAAAACCAAAAAAAAAAGGAAGGAAGGAAGAAATTAACAAGGAAGGAAGGAAGGAAGGAAGGAAGGAAGGAAGGAAGAAATTGACTATAACCCAGCTGCATATAAGCCAATCTACATACAATTTTTTATGCAATCTCACTGAGTACCCTTGGCTGGTCTGATACTCCCTAGACTAGGCTGGCCTTGCACCCACAGAGATTTGCCTGTTTCTGCCTCCCAAGTGCTCGAATTAAAGATGTGCACCACCATGCCCTGCATACATTTTTGATTGCTAGTTTGAAGATGTATTTTGTCACAAAACATTGTGAAAATAAAGCTATCTCACTTTGACAAATGAAGTAGAAGGGGTACCAGTATCCTGACAACTGCCATTGATGCCACACTGTAGAATCCTCTAATAGGTTATGTAGCTCTTGCAGCTTGTACCGCAATAAACCCTGCCTTGCCTGCTTCCAATTTTTAGCAAACTTTTCCTCCATAAAGATTATTTTGATTCTGAAACTGGTTTTATTTCAAGGTTTTATGTTATATGTCTAACTACAACATTAAATATAACACATTTATCAAGGTACTAAAGAGATATCTCAGAAGTTAAGAGCAATTGGTGCTCTAGCAAAGGACCTGGGTTTGGTTCCCAGCACCCACATGGGGACTCACAACCATCCATAACTCCAGTTTCAAGGAATAAGATGCTCTCTTCTGGCCTCTCCAGGCACCAGGTGCACACATGATGTATATACATACATACATACATACATACATACATACATACATACATACAAAACACTCACACATAAAATAAAAATACTTTAAAAGACATGTACCAGGACGAGTGTCAGAGTTTTTTTCTTTTTGTCATATTGGACATATATTTAATACAAATGAAAAAAAAATCTTGTGGATTAGAAAATAAATGATTAATGGACATAATTGCCCACCAAAGTAAGAAATTCAATGAAATTTTATTGTCATAAAGGTTATTAGAATTCTTATAATAAAAATTAAATTTGTAGTTATAGAAAGAATATTTTCCCCTTTTTTTGCTGTATATTTCACTGACAAAGCAGCAGAAAAAGAACACATCTTTCTGCAACGCTTGCAGTCTTGGCAGAATTTCAACATGGTCTTAAATCCTAAAATAAAATGTCTTTTAGGGAAATGTGAGTAAAGTGTAAGTCATTTATGACTCACTGCTTTCAGGAGGTGAATAACTGGGTACTTACACTATGATTTGAGAATTATAATTTAGATACAAAATCAGAATCTTACCAAATTTTCCTTACATGGTTTGGGTTGGTTTTGGGGGGGTATTTTTTGTTTGTTTTTTGTTTTTTTAATTTTTATGAGGTGTTTTGTATTGTTAATCTAAATTAAGAATTAACTGCACAAACAGAAAGTGAGCTCTTTTCTGAGTAAGAAGACTTCACTATCATGGCTTTACAGCATGAATCCACTGCCTTAGGCCATTTTTAATATGCTTACTGTTCACCCTAACATCACTACTCCATTTTTAATAATCTATATCTGATTTTAAGTTGCTAGAAAGAGTGAAGATGCAGTTGGCTTCTTTCCTGGAAGACCCTCAGTACCAAGACCAGCATTCTTTGCATACAGAGGTCATCAGAACATTTGGCAGAGTCGGGCCTAATGCAGAACCCCGGTTCCGAGATGAATGTAAGTCCTCTTTCTACCTGTTCCTGCATTGTTCCATCTCTAGGGACTTGTCTCCATTTCTCACGTTCTAAAAGCTCCCCTGGAATTGACCCCTGTCGTGTTCCTAAACACCAGTTATAAATAAAACAGGAAGTGTAGCTCCCCACCTATAGTTACTTGACTTTTGAGACAGAGTTTCTCTGTAGCCCTGGCTGTCCTGGAACTTACTTTGTAGACCAGCTTGGCCTTGAAGTCACATAGATCCACCCTGCCTCCCACGTGCTGGGATAAAAGGCATGTGCCACCACCATCTGGTTTTAAGAAATTTTTTTTTTAGTCAACATTTTAAGGATGTTTTTGTGCTTCTAGTCATGTTCTAGAAGTTCACAGTTATCCCACTTGGCATGCTTTCAGTGCTATCAGCACTACTTGGTTTGAATTTTCAGTGTTTTGATCTGTATAGTCATCTGCTTACTCATTTTCTCTAGTTCCTACATTCTCTTCCTTACGGTGGCCTCAACATTTATAGCAGTTTCTTGGGTGGCATTAAATCCTTACTCCCAAACCTTATTTATTATCACTGTAATACTTACTGTCCTCTTAGTGTTAGCAATTTGACATGCTTTCTAGAAGGTCATAGGTTAGCCACTCAAGTCAGTTTGGTTTCTACTGAAAAATTGTATGCTCTAACAGACTGTTTATTATACAGCCAGACTGATTTTTTTTTAAACAGTTTTAAGATCAGAATGATCAACAAAAAATAGTAAGTCGTTTTTTGGACTACAGTGTCCAAAAGGCTTGTTGAGGGCAGCAGCAGTGTCAGGAGAGTCCCTTCTCATAATCAGTTACCCAGCCACAGAAAAAGGTTGCTGATTTACTTACCAGCATGGGCAGTCCTAGTTTTACAACACCACATTTACGTGTGATCCTAGTCAGAGCTCTGAAGATGAGTTGATATCATTGAGACAATAGTTTCTTTGAGGGAGAGAAAGTAACTCCTGGCTCCTGGATTAAGGGATATGGTAAGTAATAATGGGTCTTTGACTTATACCATCTTGTGGAGTTCAGTCCCTAGTAGATTATTATATAAGCTATTTGCTTATACTCACAAGGGAGCTTTGGAGGAAGAAACTGTCTGGATTGCCATGAGCATGAAATGGAGCCAGTTAGTTTCATGGGTCCATGGAGGCTTTGTCCTCAGGAATTCTAGGCCACGGTTATTTCTCAGAGCAGGCATTATCTGTATTTCAGTGTCTTTTTTTAGAATTTTTAAGAACTTTAAGAAATAGACCTCCTGTGGATAGTTTTATTCATGCAATTGATACCTACCTTTTAAGTACGTAAGAATTGTGTAATAGAAGAGAACAGGATTTTGTTTTCTCCCAGTAGTCCCAAAAAGAACAGTTAGAGGTGTAGACCCAGTTGACCATTGTCTCTGATGTCTTCTGAAAATATTTTTAGGGGAAAAAAGTTTTTTGATCTCCCTACTTTGAACTATTTTCCTGCTCAAGGGGCTTTATCTTGAAAATGTTAATGTCAAATCTATAAATAGGACTTATGGTGAAATCAAGCCCATATCAGAAAGAATGCAGTATTCTTAACTATCCATCTTTATAGGTAATTCTCTTTGAGCGTTTAGAAAAAGAGTGGAGAAGTTGGAATAATTAGATTATTTATCACTCTGTTCCTTAACTAACATTAGTTCTTCCATTAGCCCTTATTATTTCCCAATTTTTCATTAGACCTTTTTGGTCTTGCATATGTTTTAAAACTTGTTTTGGTGTCTGTGTGTGTGGCCTGCATATATATATCTGTGGTGTATGTGTGGGTGTGGGGGGGGGGCCTGTGTGTATTCTGCACTGCATGGGAGCCTGGTACTTGTGGAAGCCAAAAAGGGACATCAGATCCCCTGGAACTGGAGTTACAGGTGATTGTGAGCCACTGTATGAGTGCTGGGAACCGAACCCCAGTCCTGCACAATAAGCAGCAAGTGTGCTTGACCACAGAACCATCATTATAACCCTTTAAACCGTCTGTCTTAAACACTGGTGGTTTTATCTAGAACATTATTTAGTTCTTATATCCAGCTACTTGTCGTGGTTGCTGAGAATGTTCCATCGTGCATTAGAGGCTTTCTAAAGGCTCAAGTAAATCTGCTTTGGTTTGGGTTTGTTCCCATTGTCTACCTGCCCCTGAACTAATGACAGTCTCTAGTCTCAGCCTCCCAAACGCTGAGATTGCAGCACAGGTAATCTGTGTTTACTTCAGATCCAAGTACATTTACAAAAAAAAAAAAAAAAAATCTCTTTGCTTTGACTGTTATATCTGCCCCAGGATCTTATTTGAAAGCTTCCTAAAATCTAATTTTTAAGTTCTATTTATTTATCTTTATTTGCTGTTTTAAATCTTTGCCTAATCAACCTTGTATAAAAAGACTTTTTAGATGTTGTGTCTTTCCCATTTTTCTTTCCCATTGAAGATGAGTTTTAGAATTATTCCCACCCAGGTTATTAAATATTCTTTTGATATTTAATATTCTACTGCCTTTAATCATTTAAACTCATCTGATGAGTTACTAATTAAGTGAATTAATTAGTATAGAGACAGTAGCCTAGGATAATACACATATAACGAAATATTGGCTTCTGTAGAAAATTTTTGTCTTCTTGAGAATTAGGAAAATCCTTATTTTTATTAACTACCTCTAGACTACTCTAGAATATATTCTTTATTATTTTTATTATTATTTTGAAACATGATCTCTCACTGAACCTGGAGCTCACAGACTCTGCTGGACTGGCTGGCCGGCCAGGGAGCCTTTCCTGTCTCCATCCCCAGCCCTGGGGCCACAGACCACACTTGACTTTTACATGGGTGCTGGGTTATAACGAGCCCTCTTCACAGCTCTGATTTTGTGGCCTTTATCTGAGTTTTATTGTCATTTCGGGATTTGTTGTTGCTGTTGTTTTAAAGAAAAAGCATCTTGTGCTGGGTAGCCTCTTTGTATGATCCTCCTGCCTCATCCTCCTGAATGTCTAGATTATAGGTGTGCACCACCATGCCCAACTTTAGAACTGAAGTTACTTTGTATAGGTTTGTCTGCTGATGAGGCAATTTTAAGGTGTATTATGTGGTATGATTTTGGATTTCTCAGAAAAAGGAAAAGTCAGAGATTTGGGAATGAGGGCAGAAAAGAGAAAAGAGTCTTAGAAAAATTGAGTCGCCTTTCTTATTTTACTTTTTATTTACCTTGGGGGTCTCAGCAGACCAGTGAAACTCAGGTAAAACAACAAAAGGGTTCTTGAGTGGGTTGGCCTTCAAATTATTTCTAGAGCCCTCTTTTTTAATTTTCATTTTATATGTATGAGTATTTTGCATGCATGTATGTATGTGTACCACAAGTGTACAGTGCCTCCAAAGGATGTTAGATCTCCTGGAAGTGGAATTGTGAATGATTGTGAGTCACCAAGTGGGTGCTGTGAACAGAACCTGGGTCCTCTGCAAGAGCAACAAATGTTCTTACCTCTCTCCAGCCCATAGAGTCCTTCTTAATATTGTTATTCTTTTGATTTGGCTTAGAATTGTTTTGTTGCTGTTATTTGTTGTTTGTTTTCTTTTCCCTCTTTAAGAGGGGCTTCCTATAGCCTTGATGAGCCTCGTACTATAAATCTTCCTGCTTCTGCCTATATAGTGCTGGGATCGCAGGTGTGAGCCAACATGCCAAAGACCCCTCAAAATGGACATTGTTAGTTGTTTTGTTGGGGGTTTTGTCATTACTTAGTGATAAGCATGGAAACTGTCCTTGCAACCTGTGTTTGTTAGGACACAGTTCTTTCAGAAGACATACATTTACTTCACAGACTTACTGTAAATAAGAAAGAGGTCACTACAGCTGCCAGAGGGCTGTGTTCTTTAACCAAGCAAGAAGAGAAAGCATTCAGATAAACAGTCACTGACTCTGAAGCCATTCCTGCAAAAAGCTAGTTTTCTGGGGAGTCTATGCTCAGTTAAAAAAAAAATCTTGGGCATCCAGGATGACTGCTGCTACTCACTTGCTTATTGTTTCCTAAGCATTGCATTCATAAACAGACGTTGTCTTTAAAGTTTCACCCTATTCTGTGAGGCTGTTCTACCCCTCAGTGACCGGAAATGATTCAGAGTACTATTTAACAGTGGGTTTGCTACAATTTTGAGAAACTGAAGACACTTGTGATATTGTGGGGAAGTGAAATAATTTATTATTGAAAAGGGATAATGCATGTACCTTTTGTGTAACAGCAGTGGTAATCTTTTCATGAGGAAACTTACGTCTACGACTGCGTCATAGTGCATATAAGCTATGTGTCTTGGTTCATTTGTTTATTGTTTTTCCATTTGGGAGATTGGGAGGTGAGGTGAGATCATCTGTAAATAGTCCTCAGAACTAGACAGTACTGGTAGTGTTATATATTTCTCAAATCACAAATCACTTACTTGGAAAAGCATACATTCTTGCCTAAGAAGAAAGAGCAAACAGAGGATGGGGGTAAATGTTTGAAAGCATCCAGCTTTAAAATGAATTCTTATAAATTTAAAATAATAATTATATGTTGTAAAGTATAAGAGTTGTGTACACGTGACTGGGATAAAATTAACAATTTCTTTTTTCTTTTTTCAGTTGTTATACCACATTTACATAAATTAGCCTTGGTGAACAACTTACAGATCGTGGATTCGAAAAGGCTGGACATCGCAGTCCATCTTTTTGAAGCCTACAGTGCACTGTCCTGTTGCTGTATCCTTGACGTGTTGGACTGTAGCTGCCTGTGTGTAACCCATCGTATAATAAACTCAGCTATGAACATCGAGTGGACTTTTTTTAAAGTTTTGGTTCACCTTTGCCATACCTGTTTTACTCTAGCCATCTCATAATTTTTAAAGGTAGTTTTCAATCCTCTGTTTATATTTTATAATTTGAAAGCTCTGATGAATTTCCTACCCTGAGATTTACTATACAATGAGCAAGAAATGCAGGGCAGAATGAATCTAGGCTTTTATGTTCTGGTATTGGATTTCGCAAAGAATGTTTAATTTATCCAGTGGAATACTATGAATTTCTCTTAGAGAAATGTCACTCTCTGGAGAAGTTTGGGGCCAACATGGTAGTCATCTCTAGTAACAACTGGGAGAAAAACATCCTTGAGGCCAATATCAACCACTAGATAACAGTTTAAATGATTAAGCTAAGACTTAAAGAGTTTAGTGACAACTTCTGCTTTCCATAGTTAAAAGCAAAACTGAACTCGAACATAGAGCTTTAACTGTCCTGTTGAACAGTCTCACTGTACTATGTTTAGTAAAATAAAACTAGGAAGGAAGTGAAGATGGGCCAAGTGAACTCTAGCCTCTGGCTTTCAGTAAAAAACAGAAGAGTTCAAGAAAGGGAACTAAGAGATTGGGAAGGGTGGAAGGCTGAATTCTCAATAGAACCAAGGAAGTACATGTTAAACAAATAATTAGAGAATTATCATCATGGCCCCCCCAAAAAAAGGTAATTAAGCTTCCTAGTGATTCGTAGGGGAAAGCAGGTTTCAGGAAGAGTTTTAGAGTACTATGATTCTGTGTTGTATGCCAGGTCCTCAGCAGAGGGAACAGGTCATTTCAAATAATATAAATATGTTCTAGAGTGCCACAGACACTCACTGTTACTGGACTTTTTTTTTGTTTTAAACTAGAATGTAACCATGGAGGGTTGCTTTTGTTCAGAATAAATTAAGTTGGAAAAGCTGTCTGTTGGGGCGCTGTATGCCCCTCTGGAAATGAAAACTTAGAGTTGTCAAGGAGGAATCTTCTTAGGAAGAAGTGACAGGACCCTGGCAAGAGAGCTATGATGGTGTGAGAATTAGAAACTCAGCTCTGAAAGTGTTTGATAGAAGTTAAGCAAAACTCATGTGTAATCTATATTAAGTAACTGTTTATAATGGAATATGCCTCAAGGAAAAGGGAAAAGTCCAAGGACAACTTTAGCTCTATAAAACAAAATTTCTAAATAAGAAAAGCAGTGGTTTCTGAAGTACATAGAAATTTATACAGAGAACTTACCAATTGTTTCAGTATGCACAAACTATTGCTGGAATAAATAAAATAAAAAGTCCCTTTCCTGGACAAGAAGCAGAAGAACCATCTTAGGGTAGGACAGAGACAGGTTTTGTTTAGAAAGAAACTCTATTATAGATCTATCTAAAATGCAGGAGTGTGTCTTATGAGACCCTGAATGTCTTCTTCTAGACAGAGGTGTTTGACCATTTACCACTGAGGTAAAGGTGGTTTTAGTATCAGATAGGACTGAATGATACGCATATTTCCAGTCCTTAAAAGATTGTTTGATTTTATGAGTAAAAGGTAGTCTTCATTGTGCGTAGAAAGACTAACTTCCCTATTTCTGTAAGTGTGACTGTCTTGAGCCTCCATGCCCATGTTTCATTATATCACTCTCTACTAATCCAAAGGTCACCCACAGTTATATCTTGGAGGTACTTTCCCAGTATCTAGAAAACAAGACTGTATAATAATTAGGCTGCAGCCCTCTGTATCGTGTATATTTTTAAATTGTGTGTGTGTGTGTGTGTGTGTGTGTGTGTGTGTGTGTGTGTATGTACATGACAGCACATGCACACGTGGAAGTCAGAGGACAACTTTCCAGAGTTGATTCTCTCCCACCTTCATGCCATTGTCAGCGATGGAACTCGGGTCACCTCAAGTTTGTGAACAGGTGCTTTGACTCACTGAGCCATCTTGCAGGCCTCATGTATATTTTTAATACCTATTGAATTTATAAGTTATGCATTATAGGAGCTTTGTGAGCATTGTAACTGTTTTCAGGGAGGTGATAATATATTACATTCCTTTTTTTCTTAATGAAGTTCATGGTAATTTTTTAAATTAAACCAGTTTTTATAAAGGAACTCATTTACTTTGTTTTTCACTTGCACATGGTGCAGTATTAAACCAGAGCTATAATAAGAATATTCCAGAATTGATGTGAATTTATAAGATGAATTATTTTCTTGAAAAATGTATCTGATTTTTCTATTCTTTTGAATGTGGAGATAATCAACTAAAACTCAAAGATGACCTAAAGTAAACTGAATATACAGCAAAGGCTTTGTTTGCTTCATTCTGGACCAGTAGAAAGTCACTTTAGCTGGGCATTGGTGGTGTATACCTTTAATCCCAGCACTTGGGAAGCAGAGGCAAGCAGATCTCTGTGAGCTCAAGGCCAGCCTGATGTACAAAGTAAGTTTCAGGACAGACAGGGCTACACAGAGAAACCCAGTCTTGAGAAACTCAAAAAAGAAAGTAAGTTGTTTAAAAAAACAAACCACATGACTGGAGAGATGGCTTGGTTTAGAGCACTGGCTGCTCTGCAGACAATCTGTGTTCAAGTCCCAGCACCCAGATGGTGGCTTACGTCTCATGTACCTTTCTGGCTTCTGCAGACGCCAGGCACACAAGTAGTACGCAGTCATATGTGCAGGCAAAAATCCATATGCAAAATAAAATTATTTTAATTAAAAAAGAAAGCAGGAAAAATGTGTATGCCTTAGACAAGTTACTTACCCTAAATAGTATACAAGTTCGTTGTCACTGGCTGTGCTGTTTCTTACATGAGGGTTATAGGTGAGTGTCATCCTCAGGTCAAGCACGTCTATAGTGTACAGTGGGTCTCTAAAGAGGATCCCAAGCATTTCTGATAATAAATGTAGATCCTTTTTCTAAATTTCTGCATGACCCCAATCTTTTGTAATTGTCTTACACATAACAAATAGTAATGTTATGAGCAACTTGCCTTTATCAGTTTTTTACATAACTTTCAACTTAGCTGTCATGAAAATATTTTAGTGTGTGCAAGTGCTTACGTGCATGTAAAGGCCAAAGGTCAACCTCAGGTGGTGTTCCTGGGGAACAGTCCACCTTAATTTTGAAGACAGCATGTTTCCCAGGTTTCCTCCTGTCTCCACCTCCCTGGTGCTAGGATTGCGGGCACACCATTGCACCAGTTCTGAGGTTCAAGCTCAGATCTTCATGCTTATGCAGCAAGCACTTATCAACTGAGCCTTTTCCCTACCCTGCTGGAAATGTTTTCTTACCTTTCATGTTTAGAACTTACTTAATTTAGCATTAGATTACATAATTTAATGCACATAGTCCTTGTCTTATTTATATTATTTAATTAAATTATGGCATGTTAGAGATAACACCAACATAAATAGATGTGTAAGAATATACCTAGGTGGGTCTTGGTATCAACTTTCCCCACAAAGGTGCCATCTGTGAAGGAAGCCTGACTCCTGAGTGTTTGCTGGGCCTACGCACTAAGAGGCTTCTTTCTATGATCGCTTCTCTGATGGCCCCTGTTTGGTTTGGTTTTGTTTTTTGTTTTTTTGGTTTTTCTTTTCCTTAACTACCTTTCCTCAGTCATTTCCGAGGATTTAATGGTAAATCACTTTTTACCCGGCCTTAGATGTTTACGGACTGACATGGAACATCTGTCTCCAGAACATGAGGTAAGTGCCTGTGACTAGCAGTACCGGGCTCATGGGATTCAGCATCTCCTCTACACACACTCTTCTCCCTGTGTAAGGCTTGATTGTGACAGCCATCTTAACACTGTTTAAGTCTAGCTTGGCTTTATTTTGTGAGTTCATTTACTAGTTGTAATACTTCAGCAGGTTCTTTAGCATCTTTGACACTGAAGTAGGGATAACACACTCTCCTTCACTTGTTACAGGAGAATGTAATCTGGAAATACCTGTGGGATATTTTATCTGTTGTATGGAACTGTCTTTGACCACTACCTTCCTTCAGTTCAGTTCTTTCCCTGCCTACCACCTATTTCTAACTGTCTTGTAGCGTTATTTCATTCCAACAGCTGACTTCTACACTAGCGGCACTTAAGCCTGCTTACATGTCAGAGTCTTGGCCCAGTCCTTTCCAGAGTCCCTAACACTCTATCCTCCTCAGGTTTTTAGAATGTTTTCAACTGTGGTTTATAGTATTTGACAATGTTAACTGTATTTCACTAAAGTGACTTTTCTAATCAGGTTATTTTAAGTTCCATGATAAAAGAATGTGAACAAAAAGTAGAAAACAAGACTGTCCAGGAGCCTCAAGGGTAAGACATTTATTCTTTTTTAAGGTTTATTAACCTGAATTTCTCTGTCTAAATTTGTCTGAGTATAATGTTTTATTTTGTGTTATTTTGCAATCACTTATTTGGAAGACAAAATTATTCAAGCCAGGCATGGGTGGTACATACCTTTAATCCCAGCACTTGTAAGGCAGAGGCAGACAGATCTCTGTGAGTTTAAGGCCAGACTAGTATGCATAGTGAGGTCTGGGACAGCCAGGGCTACATAGTGAAATCCTGTCTTAAAAAAAAAAAGACAATTATTCACGTCATCTTTTTCAATGGTGAGAAATACATGGGGACTTTAAGATTCAGATCTCTACCTGTGCTTTGTACATTCCCTCAATATTCTATGCAGCCTAGAGATTGTGTGTGTGTGTGTGTGTGTGTGTGTGTGTGTGTGTGTGTGTGTGTGTGTCTGTCTGTCTGTCTGTCTGTCTGTCTGTCTGTCTGTGTGTGTAGTGAGGGGCACAGGTATGCGATGGCACATGTGAGGATCTGAGAAAGACTTGCAGGAGTCAGTACTCTTTCTGCCATGTGGGTCCTGAGGATTAAACTTGGGGTGTCAGGCTTGATGACAGGGGCCTCACTTGCTGAGTCGCCTCTCCAGTCCCCAGAGACACTTCTGTTGTGCTACTGGACTGAACTTTACCAGTCAAATAAATAGTACCCATAAATTTGTGACAGGAGCTTTCAAATGTGGGGGATGTTCCAGCCAAACAAGATAGAACTCAAAGATTCAGTGAATTCGGGATTCAGTTCAAGTTAGAATGTTGAACATTCAAAATGGGAATAATTTACGTATGGGTTCATATACTATTATTTTCAATAAAAAATTAAGGTTTTGACCAACTGATCATAAATTAAGCTCAAGCACAATATCCTTTAAAGCTGACTATCAAAAATAAACATTTAATTTTATCAGTCATGAGTTCTCACACATACAAATAGGCACATATACATGTTTGCACACGCACACTGACACACACACACAGCTCATACTCCTCCCTGAAGTCAGTACACATAATAAGTTTCTTGCCTCTGTAAAGTATTATGAACATTTCTTAACCTCCTATGATGACAAGAAAGCTTCCCCACCCACTCCACTGTTTAGCCTTGGCTCTGACTCTGTCCTGGGATTGCCAGTGTACACTACCATGTCCATCTGAAAAATAAATTAATTCTAAAATGAGGCAAGTTGAGCACTTGCAGCTTGCCACACATTGCCCTTGATTTGTTCATACGCGTTTCCTTATTTAATCCTCAGGACATTTTACAGTAGAAACTGCAAGCTGTGTTCTATAGACAAGGAGATAGAGCCTGTAAGATCTAGAGTTTCTTGATCAAAACCACAAGGCAGGAAGCTGATTTCCTGTCTATTGCAGGACGCTTGTTGGGGCACTGAAAAAAATTGTGCTTGATCAGGGTTCTCTTCCTGTTAAGTAATGTGATAATAAGCAATCTTTCATAGTCATTCAGATTGTGTTTACTTCCTGCACACTAGGCTGCTGAAAAGGAAAGAAGAAATGAATTTGAAGACAGTTAATTGAAAGTAATACAACTAGTTGTTCAGAACACACACACACACACACACACACACACACACACCTCAAAAAAGGAATAGGATTGTTATCACAGTGCAAACCTCACTGTGATTTAATTTGCTCATTTGGGAAATAGGTAATACCTGTGTTCTAGACTTGCTGTAAAAATTGAATGAAGTGGCTGGACAGTAGTGGCACATGCCTTTAATCCCAGCACTTGGGAGGCAGAGGCAAATGGATCTCCGTAAGTTCAAGGACAGCCTGATCCGCAAAGTGAGTTCCAGGACAGCCAAGGCTACTCAGTGAAACCCTGTCTCTAAAAACAAAACAAAACAAAAAGATTCAACGATTGAATGAAGCAATAGAATTAGATAAGAGTTAAAAGAACAGCTACCCAAGGCTAGGAGGATAGCTCAGTCAGTGAAATGTGTGCTGTGCTAGCATGACGGCCTGAGTTTAATCCCCAGAACCCTGTTTTCTGTTTTGTTTTGTTTTCTGTTTTGTTTTAAGGACCTGGTGGTACAGTCTTACAATTCTAGCTCCAAGGAGACAGGAGGATCCCTTAGGCTTCATGTCCAGCCAGCCTAGCCAGATCAGTAAATCTGTCTCAAAAGAAGATGGATAACTCCTGGAGAACAAAACACGCAGGCAAAAGAACAACCATTGAACTGCTAACACATGTGGAGTGCTCTCATGGGCCTCCCACTTTCCTTTTGTGTCATCCCAATAGGTCTCTGAAGCAGACTCATTGTATAGAGAAGCAGCTTCCTCAAGGCATCACAGCTAGAAAGTAGAGCCTAGATTCTGTCCTCAACCATGTGTGATCTTAATTGTTGCTGCTTGTCATGTAAAATACCAAATCCTAGGTGACACATAAAAATTCCTCTTCACAAATCTCCGTTTCCTTTGTGTGACATAAAGATGATATGTTACTAACAAATGAAAAACTTGAGCACCCCCAGAATGGCTCAGCAGGTTAAGGCACCTTCCGCCATGTCTGATGGCCCAGGTTGTGGAGGGAGAAAACCACAGTTGCCCTCTGACTTCCACACATGTGCTGTGTCTTAAATTTTTAGTTGCTTTACATTCATTTTAAATTTTCTTTTCTAGCTCGATGTCAATTGCTGCAAGTTTAGTGAGTGAAGACACAAAGACCAAATTTTTGAACAAAATGGGCCAGTTGACAACCTCAGGTGCCATGCTGGCCAATGTGTTTCAGAGGAAGAAGTAGGAACAGGAAGGGAGCCCCAGCGAACACTAAGGCGGACCTCAAGCAGACTGGCTCCTTGTACTTGAAGCGCTTTCCTTTTTATTTCCTGAGCTTAAGTTCTTGTGTTAACATTTTATCCTAACCTCCAAAGATATTTGCACTGCTTTTGATTGTTGCTGTGTATCTGTTGGTTTAGGAATTATAACTGTGGTAATAGAAACTTGATTTAATGATCTGTACCAAGTCCCTATTCTATGTTCTTATTTTTGAGAATAACTTTTATATATAATATATATATATATGTATAGTGAAGAGGGGTTTTTTGGTTTTGTTTTTTTAATTTTTATTTTTGAATGGGATATTCGCAAATATCTGTATTATACTCTAAGCTATTACAATGGTACTTAAAATAATGTAAATTTGAAGTCATTGTTATAAAGTAATAAAAGTGGAGATTCCTTAAGTATTTAAATTATGAAAGAATAATGCAGACTTTTTATTATTTCTTAACTGACTAGAAAGAGCCACCAGCATTACTCTGTGCCTTTTGGACTTCAGTTTGTGTGTTCTGTAGGAATCATATACATTCCTTTCACACAGTATTTGAGACTGCTGTGGTGAATCTGAATGCAGATCCTACAATAAGTAGATAATGATGAGACTTAAAACATTTCACATCTCTCTTGAAAATCCTTTAAGTGCTGTTTAGCCTCTCAACATTTAGAGCATACAATGGAATTACCTGAGGAGAAACAGCACTTGAGCATGGTGAGGAGTAGCCAGGGTGAATTTCACAATTGTACTAGATTTAAATGCTCAAAAATAAATGTACTGAGAAGAGCTAATGATCATTTGTCCCCAGTTGAAATACACAAGAAAATATGATTTAAGTCTGAAATTTTACACCTATTTCCTATAACACATTTTAGGATGCTTTATAATTATTTAAATTTTGCAGTTTACCTTTTCACCTAGTCTGAGAAGGACTAAAAAGTGTAGGGACTTTGGAGATTCCTTTTTCCCTTCTAAACTAAAAGTGGCATTGGTTACGTTATTATTGGTTAGTCACCACCTGGTCCCTTAAATTCAGTGGCTGTTCCCCATTGGTGTGTTCTGTACAGTCTTATGTTGATAGAGAGTTCCACTGGAATTTGGTGGTTGTCTACACAGTGACACAGAGAGGTAGGAAGGGTGCTGCACATAGGAAAGGGTGACTGGTTTAAGGGGTTAATGTGAGGCCTTTTCGAAAAATGAATTATTTTGATAAAAAGAATTCTCATTTTAACACAGTTGATGAATATAGATGATTCTCATATTTGTTGTATAAATTGACTTTAATACACCTGAATTACATTCACTTCCTGGGAAAGCTAGCTTTCCCACACAGTCAAAGCTTATAAATTAGTTTGCCTTAGGCAAAGCCATTTATTTCTTTTACCTATAGTGAAATTATTGAATAGTCTTTCTGAACTGTTGGATTCTAGGCATTCCTGAGAAGTTGAAAGTGGCTACCTTTCATGTCAAAACGTTGATCTGTTAAAAATAAAATGTTTTTGCATACTTGTTTTGGTTATATATTTTGTTTTCATTTTGAAACACTGTATACATACAAAAATAAATCATTTATTCATGAAAATACACTGATATTTTAGAAATCTAATCTCTATAAATATTCTAGTTTACTTTTACTAAAAAGGATTGTGGTGGTCTAAAACTAATGCATTTCAGACGTAATTCTAAAGAAATACTCTGCTCTGAGCTGTAGTGGAATATCAGTCTGTTTGTTACCAGATGAGTAGATACAGAGCCCCCAAGTATCTGGAAATCGTACCAAGAATCGGCATATGACAAAATTCTACAGATGCCTGAGTGCCCATGTGGCCTTGTGTGTATACTAACATTATCCTTCCATGTTCCTTAAGTCATTTTTAGATTGCTTACAATGCCTAGTACAGTATAAATGCTTTGCTGTTTATAATATTAGTTGGGGGAAGGAAATAATTTCTCTTGTAATTTTTATTAGTTCTTTGAGAATTTCAACAATGTGCTTTGATCATGTACCCCCAAAGTCCTTCCATGCCCACCCCTCTCTCCCTATTGTCCCAGCTTTGTGGGGTTTTGTTTGGTTGGTTGGTTTTTGTTTGATTGGTTTTTTGTTTGTTTGGTTGATTGGGGTTTTTTTTTGTTTGTCTGGTTGGTTTTTGTTCTGTTGGTTGGTTGGTTTTTGTTCTGTTGGTTGGTTGGTTTTTGTTCAGTTGGTTGGTTTTTTGTTTGGTTTGGTTTTTGTTCGGTTGGTTGGTTCTTTGGTTGGTTGGTTGGTTTTGTTTAGTTGGTTGGTTGGTTGGTTTTCGTTTGGTTTGTTGGTTTTTTGGTTGGTTGATTTTGTTTGGTTGGATGGTTCTAGCTAATAAACCCATCAGTCCAGTTTGTGCTGCCGTACAGTCTTGGATGTGTAGTCTTCCACTGGAGTGCGCTTGACTTACCAGGGACTACAGTTTTAAAGTTGATTACTTGGGGGCTACTATAAGTATCAAAAATAAAGCTGCTTGATTGAGACAGTTTTTGTGAAAAATTTTCAATTCATAGTTATGAAATCCATGGATAAGGAGAGTAGACTAATATATTTCTGTTATAATTTTTATCAATGGAGCCATCTATTTAAATAGTATTTTTAGAGGGAAACAGATGGTAAGCCATACAGTATATCTCAAGTGAGACTCCCTTATTTTTTTATTTTTTTAAAAGATTTTTCTATTTGTTTTACATATCAACCACGGAATCCCCTGTCCTCCCTCCTCCCACCCACCAGCCTTTCCCCCCCCCCCCAACCCACCCTCCAATCCCACCTCCTCCATGGCAAGGTTTCCCCTGGTAGTCTGCAGAACCTGGTACATTCAGTTGAGGCAGGTCAAAGCCCTCCTTCCTGCACCAAGGCTGAGCAAAGTGTCTCAGCATAGGCACTAGGTTCCAAAAAGCCGGCTCATGCACTAAGGACAGGTCCCGGTCTCACTGCCTGGGGGCCCCCTAAACAGTTCAAGCTAAACAACTGTCTCACCTCTCCAGAGGGCCTAGTCCAGTACCATGGGGCTCCTCAGCTATTGGTTCATAGTTCATGTGTTTCCGCTAGTTTGGCTAGTTGTCTCTGTACTTTTTCCAATCATGGTCTCGATATCTCTTGCTCATAGAATCCCCCCTCTCTCTAGTCAATTGGACTCCTGGAGCTCCTCCTCTTCCTTATTCTTTTAACTGTCTTATCTATCATTAAGACTAAACATGATGGTGGGGGTGACTTGTAAAGTGTGAATTCTTTACAAATGATAGCATTGATTTTAAGTTCTTCTAAAATACAGGAAACATTTGAATGGTAGGAGTGCCTGTCTCTATATACAAGTTATGGACCCAAGAAAGATTTTAAATTGTTTCTCTCACATATTTGTTGCAGTAATGACAAGTCTAACAGTGTCACCAAGTGCCTAGTCTGCATAGAGATAGTAAACAGCCTGACACAGCCCATCCTCACCAAGCCTGTGAAGGGCAAGGAAGAACAGGTTGACAGGAAGGCTTAGGAAGGATTGTTATCACTAGAATGGCTGCTTACTTTGACTTCTTTGAATTGATATTTTGCCTGAAACTAGCCAAAAATAAGCTTTGGCTATGTGAAAAGGGAAGAGAGAAGAACTGTAAGTGCATGGGGCATAAGGTGGCATAAAGAGCTGGGAGGACTAAAAGACCAGCATGGATAGAGGGGCCTGGCAGGAGTTGCTGAATGAATGGTGGGTAAGGACAGTAATGAGGCAAACTCAAGCAAAGGAGCTTGAGTTCAAATGTAATTCTATTTTGCATTTGTTAAACCTATGTCAGAGTTGTGGATGAAAATGTCATTCAATAAGTGAGGTAGCCGCACCTGCATCTCAGGAGAGGTCAGAGCCAGACATAGTCACTCCTATTTCTGGGATGAATTACTGTGGAAAAGAGGATCTAAAGCAACCCTGGGAATCACACTTAGGAATTCCAACAGAGCAAAAGCAGAAGAGGATAATGAGGCAGGAGGGAAAGCAATACTGGCATCATGCAAGCAAATAGTGTTGCAAGGAAGGACTTCTTAGGTGCATCCATGGCTACTGTTGGTGGACAGAAGTTACTGAAGCCACTGGAAGCGTTGCTGATGAAGTAGGTAGTTTAAGGGAACTACTGGGAATACAAGTGTGATGGGCACATGCTAAGGAGAGGCATTCATGTTGCTAACAGTCTTGTGGGATATTTGTACAATGTATGAAAATGTATTGCTGTGGTTGGTGTAATAAAAAGCTGAACTGCCAATACCTAGGCAGGAGGTATAGGCAGGACTTCCAGGCAGAAAACTCTGGGAAGAAGAAGGCAGAGTCACCAGCCAGATGCAGAAGAATCAGCATGGACAGTACAGACTCCATCTTAGGGAAGGGCCACCATCTTAGACCACCTCCAGGAAGGACCTCAGGAATGTGCTATGACAACTCGAACAGATAACAGGGCAGTACGCTCCTGCAGATATTCTGTCTGTGGTTTATGGCCTTTGAAGATATTCAGATAATCCCGCTCAGCAAGTTGTGGTTTTACACTGAAAGTCTAGACCAATAGTTTCAAAAAAAAAATCACCTTGCCCCATATTCCTTCTACCCAATCTCAAGATGCCAAAGTATATAATTCCCAGCTTGTGATTTTTCCCTATAAAAACTCTACCCCTGGGCCCACTGCAGCCACATTTCCCTCCATCTGCCTGGGGGTGGCCCAGGTTCGAACCTGACAATAAAAGGACCCTTACGTTCTTGCATCAGAAACCAGTTCCTTGGTGTTCTCTGGGGGTTTCACAAAACGGGAACAACAGTAACAAGCCACTAGACAGAATGTAGATTAAAGTAAATGGGTTACTTTAAGTTATAAGAGCTAGTGGGACAAGCCTAGTCTAAGGCTAAGCTTTCATAATAATAAGTCTCCATTCCATTATTTGTGAGCTAGCAGCCCAAAGAAAAATCCTACTAGACAGTCTTTCAAGAAAATTTGGCCTAAACAGGAGCTGTAGTATTGGTACTGTGGTGACCCGAGGCTGACTGAGAATGAAACAGCAGCTAGGGACAGTAAGTGTGAGGCTGAAACCCTTGAGAAAGCAGTGAGATTCAGCACACAGAGGCACTGCTCTATTGAGATAGGAAAGGATGCTAAGAGAGCAGAAACTGCAGGTGACTGGTAGGAATATTAGGGGGTTCCATATAATCCCTTCTATTTTCTCAGTGAAGTCTGAAGCAGACATTAGCTTGCCTGACCTATAGGAAATATTGGAAGCTTACGGAAGAATTTTAAAATAGTAACCTTCAAGAATGGCAGAGTGGATTTGTGGAAGAACTATAGGCCTGCCAACAATTTACAAAGCCCACTTGAAAATAAGAATTGTGAAATTTAAAGAAGCTACTTAGCATAATTGTTTAAAACAATTAACAAGATCAGCTGTTCCCAAGAGGTGCAGAAATAAGGCATAGCCAAAGTTGATTTTCCATGTGCAAAACAGGACATTAAAAGTACTGAGGAGAATTATGTAAAATGATGGCTATAGAATCCAAACTAGATAAAGACAGAATGAGATACTGGAGTGAATGTAGGAGGGGGAAAATATGAGCTCTCAATTAAAAAAGACAAGTGTAATGAGAATACTTAGGTGAGCGAAGAGGAGGGACGTGTCTTGTGGAAGCAGAAATGGAAAGCAAATGACACAGTCATTCTGCCTCCACGCTCTAAAACACAGAAGCTTGCGAAAACAATTGAAACAAAGTGAGATGACGTCTTCAGGGTAGCCAGAAGTCACTTAGAATGTGATGTAGAAGATAGCCTAAAGAGAGGTTATGCATGAAGGTGGTTCTCCAAAGACAAGATGGCTTTCCATGGACCAAGCAAGTGACAGGGAAGGATTAGAAAAGAACTTAACTTTAAAAGATGTTCAGTGGCCAAGGATAAGAGCTCAGGTTAATGAACATACACATCTGGAGATGGAAGTAAACAAGGTTAGGGTGAGCCTACCCCTAGTCAACCTGGAGATCTAAGATCCTAGTTTGTTTCTATTTGTATTTTTCCTTTGTCAACCCTGGTTCAGGTCTTCTCTTTAATATTTGTGTTCTGAAGTATCAAAGTAATGTTGCAGCACCAATATGATTTTTTGAGTGTTTTTGGTTGGTTGGGTTTTCTTGTATGTTGTTGCTGGGACCTCTACCCATTTACTAAGGCTTTATAAGAAGTGAATCTTTATAAGAAGTGAATCTCTGACTGGAGATTCAGATGCTAAGAATTGGCTGCCCTTCCCAGGGGACCCAGGTTCGATTCTCAGCACCCACATGGAGGTTCACAAACATCTGTAACTCCAGTTCCAGAGGATCTGACACATCTTTTGGTGTTGGCAGACACTGCACACACATAGTGCACAGACATACATGCAGACAAAACAATACCCAGACATATAAAATAAAAATAAATCTTTTTTTTTAATGAACACATATGTTGGAGAAAAAGTAGCAGTCCCTCACAGAACCTGTTTTTCA